GGTATTTGCACAAAACCCCGTATTCTTTTGATTTCTCCCAAAATTTCCCCCAAAACTTTTTATCCCACCTCAAAATTTTGTTATTTTATCATAATCCTTAGCTCCTTACTATCCATTTTTGTTACAAAATAATAGTCAATCATCTAGAGAAAAGAGTATCGATTCTTAATATTCCTAATTTTTATATTATTTTTTTGTAATATAAACTGTTTACGTAACCTCTGTTTCTTTCTTATAAAAACATTTCCTTTTTCTTTTGACTGATTGAGAGAATTTGAGATTGTAGTGGTGTCTGTCCCATTAAGAATCTTCCATCTGTGGCTTCTTTCAAACCTCCAATAATTGGGGATTGGATTGACTGATTTATTCACATGATAAGATTTTGCCCATGTAGAAGAATCAAATAAGAAAATCCCAATAAATTCCCAAATTAGGCCAATATGTTTTTTCCCTTGAATTCATTGTTGGAGAAAAGAAAGAAAACTTTGGAAGATAAGTATGTGCGCAAAAAAGAGTTGGGGATTAGCGTTGACCAGTCAGAGGCAGAAGAAAGAAAGGTACATTAATACAGTAGTTTGGAACTTATACGTTATATATAAAGATGAGTGTGGCATTTGTCATATAAAACTGAACTACTTTTGATTTGTGACCGTTTACACGCCCACCCCATATTCTAATCTTCATGTCACCAACTTGACTTGGAAGACCAAAGAATATACATTACCAATACTTCTAATAAACAATATACAGTATATAATAGAACCTTCGTGTGGTTGGATATATAGTTATATACGCAATTGTCAAATGACTATTGGTTGCTTGTAAGTTGTAACACACTGAACTAAACAAATATTATACAGATTGGTTTGTTTGTATATTGAAGGTTCGTTTTTTTTCAACATATCCATTGTAGACTGTTTTCTTAATACATGAGATATGATGATCGATAAATAAAAACTTAAGGGAGAGAAAAAGATACAATTTTGTCTTCTTCTTTTTTTGGTCTACGAGAACGTTAAAGTATAAGAAGTTGATGGGCGAGTAGTTGCAAGCTTGACAAGTGGGTGTTCAAATTTGAGTAGAACAAGTAAGCGTTCATTGTATCTAGCCACACCCGAGACCACACTTATTGTCTTATTGAGGATGATAAACAAAAATCTATACAGATTTTGTTAGATATTTTTCTTAACAGAATGATCCAACACACATATATATATATATATATATATATATATATATATTTATGTGTATGATAATATTAACATATCTTTATCTTTATAAAGTAGAGAAAGAGAAAGAAAGAGGAGAAAATTAGTGCTAAAAGTACAAAATACCATTCCTATATATTACGTAAAGAGACCACTAGCTACTCAACTAAGTTAGTACCCATCATTCATTCCATAAACGAAATAAAATAAAAATAGCAACCTCAAAATCTAAAGAGGCTTAAGGAAAAAAGGAGAAGAAAATGATATCAATTAAGATATATTTATAATATATATATAGCTGCATACAAAATTTAGTAGATTCCAAACATTAATCGTCGTAACCATGCAATTACGTTCTACCTAGGTAGGAACCAAATTTGATGAAATGATTCATAGAAATATTACAATCTTATATATAGACATCCATTACACAATGACCTGATCCATCATCCATATATCGTTGTTTTATGTATCACGATTTGTTTTCCAATTTTTTTAGAAACAGTTGCATTCAAGTGGATAATATCAAAACTTTAATTCTTTTTAGCAGCAGTGTGGGACTTACTTCATTCTCTTGGCATATGCTATCTTTTACGGTTTGTCTTATCATCAATTTATAATAATACTTCGATTTCTTTTCTTCTTCCTAAAAGCAAGTTTCTTTAGAATTTGGCGTTTTCCAAATTTTCTACAACCGTTCTCTATTTCTCCGTATTATATTCCTACAACTTTAGACTTTACAACAAACCATCTATTCTATACGCATGCACACTCGTATTTGCTTCAAATGATATTTTTTTTTTGATATGATGTCAAATTCATTTTATTATCAACAAAGTATATTTATATATATAGGAAAATATAATTAATTTTTAAAAAATGCATGATATATCATTAAATAAGTTCGAATGTTGACACTTGACACACACAAATTCTTGAACATCCGAACAAATATTAAATGTTCTATAACGTATATTGATCGATGTATGCTGAAATATTAAAATAATAATAATACGGGTCTATATTCAAATAACTCGTCTGGTATAATTTATTTTCCAAATATAACACTATTCGTCATTGTAGCAATAACGTTTAAAATAGTTAATTTTTCAGTTATTCAAACTATCCATACAGTAATTGTTTCCTATTCTTTCTTTTTTTTCGTCATTTGTTTCCTATTCGAAAACGATTTTAAGCATATTAAAATGAACGATTTTAATAAGCATTTTAAACGATTTTAAGCTATATAGCTAGGTGCAACATTGTTGACATTTATAATATGCAGACGAATCGAAAGTCACACGTGTGGTTGCTGGCACGTTGACTATATAACTTTCGTGCTTATTAATTTATTACGACGTTCTAATTGGTTGATTTATATATATATATAGAGTACTATATGAGGGGAGACTTTTGGATTTTAACTTTGAATTTTTTGTTTTAACTATATTAGCGTATGAGAAAACTCCATTTCATACAAACCAAACTAAAAAGAAAAGTCACATTTGATCAATTTATTCGCGAAGCGTTTTATAGGATCAAGCTGTTTCGAAAGACTGTGTCGTACGTGTAACATGCGACTTTACAAACAAATTACTTTTTACGTAATATCTAGGTTTTCCTTGAAAAGTTACAACTACACTTGCTTATCTTTGTCAAAGTAATAAAATTTATCATATATGATGATATATTTTATGACGTTCAAATTAACTTAACGTTAGCTGTTTTGAATATTTTATGAACCCTCCCTTTTTTATTCTTGCAAACTATAGATTATATATATATATCAAATAATTGACAGCCATATAATTCCCTTTTCTCTGAAAAGAAAAACTTATATATGAAGTATCTTAAATATACGGTGAACTAATTTTCTTTAGCAAAAAAACTAATGTTCAATTATTATTGGTTTAATTGATTGCATCATTATACCAAAATATACTTTAGCTGGAAAAATAAATAACTGCCACGTATTTTAAAACTTAGAAAAATCCAAATTTTTGGAGGAAATTGGCTTAGCGTGTGGTTTGCGTGTGTGTGTGAATGCCGATGTGGCATGTCGTTATCATTTTAATTAAAAGAAAGAAAACAAAACTTTATCTATATTACATAAGTATGTTTAATAATAACATAATTCAGATATAATTAAGCTAGTAAACTAATTAAGTACGTTATAAAGAAATCGTAAAATAGATCATGTGGGTGTTTATGATCCCACGTTTGCTCTTTTGGAAGAAGCAAATGTTTAAAACTTGTTTTGCATCCCACCAAGAAACATATCAAAACTAAGATTAGTTTAATACTTGCTTCATTAGACAAAACACGTACGTAATTACACTAATAACATTAAATCAGCATTATCCGTCTTTTCTTTGTCAACAAATTATTGATGTTTAGCCTTTACACATGGTATAGAGAGTGTGTGGTACCATGGTCAAAGATTACTTTTGTTTCTTTCTCTATGGATTTGATTCAACGTTTTTGTGTTAGTTCTTATCTCATTTACTCCAATCATATCTCGATTTTGTTTATTTTATCATTCAAACTTTATCTATTAGAATTGATCACACGCAGTTCAAGAGAAAAACAAATTGTGTAAAGGTTTTAATTAGTTCGTTTTAATTAAAGTTGTTCTTATCCCTTTAGTTTATTATATTTGAGGGAAGAAGAAAATGTCTTTCATATGTTTGATTTCTATTTTTGTACGTACTACCTAATATCACCCTTTATGAATGATATAATTGCTATCTATGTTAAGAAAATAGGGAAAATTCAATTAACCTAACAAAATTGGAAAATATCATGAATCAGAGAAAGCAACGAGCATATCACACTTAATTACGTGTCAGGTTTTTACTGTTTTATCGATGTTTATTGAAGATACATATATAATCCATAAGAAGTGAATTTACGCTCTTATTCTACATTATACAACTATAATAGTACAATATGAAAAAGTTCATTACTATAAACTTTTTTCTCGTAACAAGTCTAGATATTTTATTTGATTTTTCACTGCTTGTGAGGAAGGATTCAATTAGCTAAAGACTAGTGTGTATGATGGATTGCGTCATCAGCCGCATCTGGGCTTACGTGGATATGGTTAGGACAAGAGTAAAACTAACCAATCAGATGTCATCGCGGAGGACACAGCTGTCCCATTTGGGTCCACTTCTCTAACAAAACTTGTTCAATTATTCACACTCTCAATACAATGACACAAATTATACAATTTATTTTTATATATTATATAATTAAAAACGGGACTTTTGTGTTCATACTAATTAGGTCCTTAATTACCATGTTATTTATATTTTGTTGGAAAGATTGGGGACTATTCTCATAATTATATAGAAATATACTCTCAAATTTTTGGATTCAATCCTTGGATAATTAGAAATACTTTTGTGAAAACTATTTATACAAAATGATACATTTAATATATATATAGACTACTTGTACAAAACGACCAAAATTTCAAGTAAATTATATATTCAAGTTTCTGTTCATAAAACATGCTTGAGTTCGATGACGTTAATATACATGTTAGTTTCTTCTCTCAATAAAAGTTGTAATAATCTTTTTTCTAACAGTTCTTTATTACAGAAATTAATCCTTTGGATATTTTTCCCGGTCTACTTTACAGAAAATAATATTCTGTATTTTCATTTATGATTTTGTAGTCTAATATTTTTTCAATTATACAAACAAGTTGCTAAACGACAAAAATCTACACACCATAAATTGGCATCGCAACCTGCTCTACGAAAAATTTCAATCTTTGCTCCTCAGTCCTTACCATAAACAATCTTTCTCCTTTGATTTGATCTTTCTTATATATCGATCAAGATTTTCTATTGGTAGAAGAATTTAAACAATCGTTGTAAAGAACACAATGATAAGCAAGGATCCAAGATCGAGTTTACCACCGGGGTTCCGATTTCATCCAACAGATGAAGAACTCATTCTCCATTACCTAAGAAAGAAAGTCTCCTCTTCCCCTGTTCCTCTTTCGATCATCGCCGATGTCGATATCTACAAATCCGATCCATGGGATTTACCTGGTAATATACTCTTACTTTTGTCTATGCATGTTTCTTTTTATATATTAGTGTTATATTTTGCTAACATGTTGCTTGATTTGTATCAGCTAAAGCTCCGTTTGGAGAGAAAGAGTGGTATTTTTTCAGTCCGAGGGATAGGAAATATCCTAACGGAGCAAGACCAAACAGAGCGGCTGCGTCTGGCTATTGGAAAGCAACCGGAACAGATAAACTGATTGCGGTAGCAAATGGTGAAGGGTTTCATGAAAACATTGGTATTAAAAAAGCTCTTGTGTTTTATAAAGGAAAGCCTCCAAAAGGTGTTAAAACCAACTGGATCATGCATGAGTATCGTCTTGCCGAATCTTTTTCCCCAAAAAGAGCCAACTCTTCTAGTAGCAAAGTCAATAATTTTGGAGATAGGAATTTGAAATCTAAAGAATATTCGATGAGGGTAGGTTTTTGCTACAGACTTTAGCTTTGTGTTTTTCTTTTTGGTACCCGCCAACTATTTTAACCGGAAGGCATATTAAAACCGGTTATTACAGGACCGGAATATATATTATTTTTTGTCTCTTTGTTCTTTTTGTCCCAATACTAATGAATTTTATATTTGCTTATTTATTGCAGCTGGATGATTGGGTTCTTTGCCGGATTTACAAGAAATCACACGCTTCATTGTCATCATCTGACGTTCCTTCGGTCACAAGCAATCAAGAGCATGAGGAGAAACACAACAAACCATACGTAGACCGCGAAACCGTTTTGCCAAATTTGCAGCAGCAAAACGATCAGCCCCTTAAACGTCAGAAGTCTTCTTGTTCATTCTCAAACTTACTAGACGCTACAGATTTGACGTTCCTCACAAATTTCCTAAACGAAACCCCTGATATTCGTACTGATGATCAATCAGATTTTTCTTTCACGATTGGTAATTTCTCTAATCCTGACATGTACGGAAACCATTACTTGGATCAAAAGTTACCACGGTTGAGCTCTCCTGCTTCAGAGACAAGCGGGGTCGGAAACAAAAGAGAGAGATCACTGGACTTTGCGGAAGAAACGATGAACAATACTTCCAAGAAGACGATGATGATGAACACCTATAGTTACAATAATAGTGTAGACCACCTGGATCATGGTATGATTCAACAATCTAGTTTCCTGAACCAGGAACTCTTGATGAGTTCTTCTCACTTTCAATATCAAGGACGCTAGAGAGAGAGAGGATATTATTAATTTGAAAACCTAATCGCGAATTAGGGACCATTCGATATAATATGATTGAAAAGTAGGAGGTTGATGTTAGAAATTTACCAAACTATATTGTGGGGGGGGAAAAAGAAAAATATATATCTATAGAATAACAGTAGTTGATGTAGAACTGTGTTTTGGTCATACCAAATACAAAGCTTGTATTAAAAGTACTGAAATAGTGTTTGATACTTTTTTTTGCATTTCGGTTATGAGGTAATTATTATACAGTTATGGTTCAGTCTCTTAATATTTTTGCATATACCATCATAGAAATATATAATGAAAGAATCTGCAAATTATCGTTTTCACAAGTCGTTTTAAATTGCCCGGGCTAGTTACTGTTGATTAATACGTATACATCACAACCATTATATATAAATAAAGATTAGTATAAGAGTGATTTAGTTGGACGGTTCATGATTTGCGTTCTCTAGTAAAGCCACGTGGAGACTAATTCCACTTATGCTCTCTTTCGGTAGCCCTCGAAGGATCATCTTCGTAATTACTTGCGTACACAACTTATTTGTTGAATCATCGTTTATATTTGGCTGTTAAGAAAACTAAATCATCATGGTAAATTCACAATTAATTTCTGAATAATAAATAAATGGGCATAAACGGCCCATTGAGCATCAAATGGCCTATATGGAGTATTTTTCTGGGCAACAAGATATGCAAACCATCTAAACGGCCGTTGCGGTGGAATCGTGGTGTGAAAACAGAACCGAACCAGTCGCTATCGTTGTTTTCAAATTATTTAGTAACAATTAACACGTCTGTGCCTTTTTATGAATTTATCCACATGCTATATTTGTTTTTTTTTCTTTTTCATCCAGAAGTAGTATTTACATATGTAACAAGAGAGACATGTTAGTGAATGACTGCTAACGCTTGTTAGAGAGTTTGTGTTTCTTTTCTTTCTGCATTATTGTGGGATCATTTAGACACGTACGTAGAAGAACAATTCTACGGTAGAATATACATATAGCAGCCCCCAAGAGATACATCTCCATCATCATAGTATAACAGCTAAGCACATTCATTTTTCGAAGAGAAGAATCTTACGCGTTACTTTCACACAACACATATTTTTTTTTTTTTTTTTATATTTTTTTTTTTAAATATATATTTTATTCATTTTCTTCAAACCTCAAAAAGAGGGGACATTTGAGAATACACTTTAAACATGAAAATGATTAAAATTTAAGGTGAAACAAGACAAGAATTAAAGTGAAGCAAGGAGAGGAATCAAAAGCTCGGAGAGATGGACTACCGCTGAAAAGAACCAAACCAAAAGGCAAGGTAGGTTTCCGGAGCACTTTGAAAAGAACCAAACCAGATTTTTTTTTTTGTCCTCATACTGTTATGCTTCGCAAATTTGGTTTCTTTTATATAATGATCATAGGTTTGAAACCTTCCTTCAAGAATTATGCCAATAATATATATATCGTAATAATAAGTCCCATCTAAACCTGGATCCAGCTCCTATTGCAGAAAAGTTCTGCTAATACATACAAAGGGAACGGTCACGATCCAAAACGTATACCAACATTGGAATTATCGTAAAATATGATTGTTATATTTTGATAATTTAACTACGTAGGATAAGACTTACTAAATATCAAGGCTAAATGCACTTAGATATTCTTAGCTTTATTTAATTTATATGGATATATGTTTTGTAACGATAACGACGGAGCAATTTCACCGAACCTTGATAAAGTCGTTTTTTTTTTGTCATCGATAAAGTCGTTTCTAATATGTATAAGCTTAATCTGTAAATTGTTTGAAGTCATCTCGAGGACTTGGAATCATTAATAAAACGAAAAGACCGACTAATTAATTTGAACCTTTTTTTATAGATGCTAAAAAAAATCAAGAGTGAGAAACAAATTACACGTGATGACGTGAATATATACTGGCTCTATTACTGCCATCATCAGCTAATTCTTTGTTTTGTGTTTTCTTTTTCACCTTCTTTTTCATGTTTATAGTATAGTTTTTATTTTTTCGTAGGAGATCATATATACAGACAAAACAAACGAAACTACATGCTGACGGACATCATCATCATCATCATCACATGTGTGAAGTTCACACTGATTAATTATATCATAGTTATATATAATAATCTAGAGATCGCACCTTCCATTTGTTGGTAGGTGTGGGTGCGCTGCACCCGGTAAAATTGTTCAATGTTTTACGTTGTAAAATGACTATATGTGTTTATATATATATATATAGTGTACAAAATGTTTAATTAAGAGAGGATGTCCCATCTTTGGCGGCATATTCTGGATAGTGTGTCTCGACAACACAAAATGTGAGGACGGTCCATTGCTCAATCCTTCTATATGTTAAGCAAATTCGCTTTTTGATTTTCTAGAAAACGAGCTGGGAGACGAAGAGAATCAAATACGTTATATGTATCTATGCTAGGCTGATTAACAATATTATCTTCAGTAGAATAGGTGACGCGAGCCGGCCATACAATCGTTATTATTTTCTAAAATTTTATTGATTTATATATAACCAATTGGTATACAAGTGTCCAAAACTAGAGATTGGATCCATTTATTTATTAGCTAATATTTTGACAATTCCATCTGATTAAACATTATACGACCCCTCAAGCCAAAAATATACTAATACTTATATGACCCCCAAATTATAGTTAAAAATAAAAAAAACAATAGAAGGGACATGTAAAGTTCTTATGAATTATGATGTCTCCTTTTTCTTAACACCTAAACGGATACTGTTTAAAAAACGAGAGTATATGATTGTTTGAATACCAAAAACTCTGCAACGGCAGAAAATTACTAATAACACCAAATAGCTAATGCCTAATATATAGTAATCTGTCTTATAAAAAATATAAGACAAATAATTGAAAGTCTTTTTAGATAGCTATATGTAGTTATATATAATAAGCTAGTCGACCCACTTGATTCCGAAGGCTACACTACAATTTTAATTATTATTGGTGGGATTAACTTACAAGATTTCCAATATAAAGATATAGTAAACATTAAAATCAGTATATACATTTTCTGTGTAAATTACTCACGCATGACTGATCGATGACTAGTGGTGGTAGCCATGACTTTGAGCATGGTTGAATGACATCATCACCATCACACATACCATTATGGTACCTACGACATATATATGACCAAGTTTTGCTTATGATCTTAATACGATATACAATATTATATATATATATATATATATATTTTTTGAAAAGACGAATTTACATGGTAAAATAATCTATTTTGTCTTTGTGTAATTTGATATATAATTAATATTTCTCAGTATAAACAATATCAACACAAGGCAGAAGAGGAGGATGAGGTGTAAAATAATTGACAGTTAAAACTTAAAAGGCCTGGGCTGGGGCCACATGTGACCCAATAAGGGAGTCGCTGATGTCATAATCTACGTCAAATGACGTCACTAAATTGATGCTGCTCCTTTGCTTTGAAGTCTTTTGCCTTTGGAAGCAAAAAGTCAACCTTCTTAAGCATTACTTTTTTTTTTTTTTTGACATTTATAATAATCTTCTTCTACTACTATATGTAATACGATGATGGGAATAGTCCACGCGCCAAAAACAATTAAATACGAAAAAATTGTACTAATTAATATATAAATATAAGGTATTTTAGAAATTTCAAAAGATACATATAAAAAATGTAAGAGGAACTGTTCTTCGTTCTTAGAATTTATTAATTTTGTAAGTCCCTTATTATATATTCCATAACTTGCGGTCCACATTATATATTATTGTATCAACAATTTTCATTATCTGATAAAGTTATTCTTATCCAGTTTCCGTTATCTATTACTATTATTTGATGCAATATACAAGTACTCCAATAATGAATATATAAAGAAAATACCATAGGTGCGTGAGATCGGTAAAAGGAAGAAGAATAAGAGTCGGTCAATAATTTGTAATACGAACAATCAAAATCGAGATTGGCATTAAACTGGTAATTAAAAAAAAAAACAATGAGTTCTATTGATTAATGTTTGAAAACGATTAATTAGGTCGGTGAGTTGGTGCGAGTATTATTGACTTTTAATGACTTATTTAATTATTTCATATGCGTTAGAATAAAGAAATTTTCTTATTGGATTGTTAATTTGTTATGTTAATATTCTTGCAAAAAAGCATAGGCATATACTTTTTTCATAGGCATATACTGTATGTGTATCTATGAGCAGTTTAAGAAAAAATGATTTTATCAAAAGTATAATATTTGATTTATGTAAAAATCCAGATAATTAGGTAATGTAAATATGTAATCCAGACAGTTAAGTTAGTTGGAGATTTGGCGTCACATTAGTTTGAAACTTTTCAAAGATACCTTTTTTATTTTTATTTTCTTCAATACTAAAATCAAACTGTAGCTTTATGGGCACCAAAACCAAGCTCGTCGTCAGATCCTGGAAAACAACATATACAACTAGTAGTATTTTAGTCTATTTTTATTTAATTTCTTTTTATTGAGTACCAACTCGATTTCTGTTTAAAATTATATTCCAAATCATAATCATAAATATGTCAAATATTTGATCTGTAAATATTTAAGATATATTGTATTATATTATTGATTTGAATTTTAAAACAGTAGAGGACACTATTTATATATATATTTACTTATATACCAATAATAAATTCCAAGATTACGTCACACTTGTACCAATTGGTTGATAATTTAACATTATTTGTATTCCTTCAGCTTCGCTGGTAAGGTTAATAAGATACACACCACACAATTGTTGCTAAATTATTATTAGCTTTTTATAATATCAAATCCACAAACTACAAACACGTATAATTTTATACTATACCTTAAGTTGATTCGACGATAGGATTCCAAACTCATATAAATTAAAAAAAAATTCAAAAAAATCAATTTAATTATCCTTTTTTCTGAACGAACCATAATTGACAAAATCAAAATACAAATTCTAGAAAGTTTAAACTGTAAAACGAAGATGATCATTTATTTTTGTATTTTCATTTTTAATTGACAAAAGCCATGCTCAAATAATAAAATACCCGAAATGAGCAACTCAGTCATATCCATATATACTTCATTCCTCACTTTATGTGATCGACGTATTCAGTTTTACTTTCGTATGATAAATCTTCGTAGAAACTTGAAATCTACTAACACATGGGTATTGATGAGACTACGTTTCCAGTCGTGAAGACTTTGTGGGTAAATTACTAGCTGATCCATGTTTAGAAAAGAAAAAAGAAAAAAAAAAACTTGAAATCTACATATAATACATACAATATAAACGAATTAAACATTAACACACAAATATGTTTTGTGGACAACGGATCAAAAATATAAAGAAACGAACATTTTATCAATAATATGGTCCACGTATATAATTAATACGAAGAGAATCCAAACCTTTTTAACACTTTTTTAAGTGGTATATATTTTCATTCAAAGGTTATATATTTATTTTTGTCTGCCACACACGACTCTTTTATTTTCTTTCCAAAAGAGGTTATTTTCAAAAGGTAGATGCATGTCATATGTGTGGCTGTCGAAGTCTTTTTTTTTTTTCCTTTCTTGGTGAGTGGCTAAGGAAGCCATAAGATAGACTATACTGACATAGTCCTATGAAATGTAGAAAAACAAAATTTAATCTTATATTTATGCGGTAGACGCGTTTCCATATGGTCGAAGGTTTAGTTGTAGAATCTAAAATACTAGTATATGAAATTTTGTGAAAAATTCCATCGGCATCCCAACAAATCGTTTTGTTTCATATATTAAATAAAAATACATATTTATCTGATCCACTAAAAATAATTTTCTTTTATCTTTCTCTTAGGTTTAATAATTGACACTAGTATTATGAAAATAAATAAATCTATATTAACATTTATGTGAAGCTGTATGTAGACCTATATATATATAAATGCTAATTGCTCTATATTTCATACAAAATTATTTAAGATATTTTTTAAGTGAATTCTAATTGTGCGGGCTTTTTCAACAAGTAAAGAAGTTGCTTAGACCATACGTGTCTCTCTGCTAAATCACCGAAAAAAAAAGAAACAATTATTGATTTTTTTTTTTTTTCTTTCTCAACTCTTATCTCCCTCTATATAAAGATAATTTTTCTACCTTCACATACTTTTATTTTCATTTTCTTTAACTGCATAGATAGTTCCTCCTCAAAATTCTGAAACCTTTGCTTCTCTTTCTTTCTTTCTTTCTTACTTCAACCTCTTGTTTCTTCTTCAGCACCTACGTGCATCTGCAACAAGCACATACCTCTCGACCGAGAACCTTAAACTTTCCTAAAAAGAATTATTGTTTTCTTGATATATCCATCAAGGGTTTTTCTTGTTCTTGATTAAACATACATATATAAAGATGGTGGAAGAAGGCTGCAGTGTAGTTGTGAATCAAGGAGGAGATCAGGAGGTTGTGGATTTGCCTCCGGGGTTTCGGTTTCACCCAACTGATGAAGAGATCATAACTCACTACCTCAAAGAGAAGGTCTTCAACATCCGATTCACCGCGGCGGCGATCGGTCAAGCCGACCTCAACAAGAACGAGCCATGGGATCTACCAAGTAAGTCAAGTCAAGATCTTTATTTATTTATCTTGACCGTTCCAAACATTATCATCGATCAAGACTCTGATTATCGAATTTGAGTGCAGAGATGGCAAAGATGGGGGAGAAGGAGTTTTACTTTTTCTGCCAGAGGGATCGCAAGTATCCAACCGGGATGAGGACGAACCGTGCGACCGTGTCCGGTTATTGGAAGGCGACCGGGAAGGACAAGGAGATCTTTAGAGGCAAAGGTTGTCTTGTCGGGATGAAGAAAACACTTGTCTTCTATACAGGAAGAGCTCCCAAAGGCGAAAAGACCAATTGGGTTATGCATGAATATCGTCTTGACGGCAAATATTCGTATCATAACCTCCCCAAAACTGCAAGGGTATGTCAAAACCTTTTCCTTTCTTTTTTTTTTGCAAAACATTGATTCGATCGGTTCAATAAAACAGATCGGAGTTTGATGCATAAAAGTTTTTTTTGTTTGGTAAGGAAGTGTTTATCTTATAGTTATTATCTTGTCTACGTCTTCGTTCACGATTAATTCAAAACATAAAATCTAATTAGGAACTTAATTAGTTAGCTAATTTTTTCTTTTTGCTTTTTTTTGTTGTTGTGGTTATAGGATGAATGGGTGGTGTGTAGGGTTTTTCACAAGAACGCTCCTCCTACTACTACTGTTATCGCCCCAAACCATATCTCAAGGATTGACTCTCTTGACAACATTGATCATTTCTTAGACTTCTCATCTCTCCCTCCTCTCATAGATCCAGGTTTCTTGAGTCAACCCAGTCCAAGCTTCTCTGGTGCCGGCCACGACCTCAAACCCGTCCTCCACCATCCTACAACCGCTCTAGTCCCTACCCAAACCCTCAATTTCCCTTACCATTCTGGCAACAATTTCAGATCTGATTCGGGTTACGGGGCAGGCTCGGACAATAATAACAAGGGTATGATCAAGTTGGAAAATTCTCTTGTGAGTGGGTCTCAAGAAACCGGTTTAAGTACCGATGTGAACACAACTGCGACGCCGGAGATATCTTCTTATCCTCTGATGATGAACCCGGCAGCCGATGCGGCATTAATGATGGATGGTAGCAAGTCGGCGTGTGATGATCTTGATGACTTGATCTTTTGGGACGACGACTTCTACTCTAAATAAATTTGGGAGAAGGTTATTTATTAATTGTGATTGAAGAGTGACATTGATTACTTGTGTAGTGTTTTTTTTTATCATGTAATTAGTTAGTGTATATTTACATATACATAAGATTATTAGGTTTTTTAGGCATTGCACTTTAGGTTAGATGATTGTTTACTTAGATGTTAGTTTGGGGGAAAAAGGGCTGTCATTGGGGTTATCAGTTATGGAGTTTCTTTGTGATTAACTTGTACATATATATTATACATATTTAAATTTGTTAGTCTCTGGAAATTAAGATTTTCAAGTAAAGTTATTATATTCTGGAGAGGCCGTAGCAGTTGTATCTATGCAAATAATGTTTACAATTTTAATGTTTCACTGCCTACTTTTTTTACTTATTTTTCGTAGTGAGCTGGTATATATACATGACTTTAAGCATATATATCAGCACATATGTATACACATTATATCATTGTATTCAATAGCACACCGAATATATAGTTCTCATTTAAGCTTCATTAGTTACATAATAAAATTAGAAGACATAAATAAATCTACATGTACGCTTAATGAATATGCTGTATCAAACCCTTGTTCTGATACCAGTCTTTTCTGTGAGTTGGAAAAAAAACTCGGTTAGGGATTCATGCATACTACTAGTCCCACAAGCTCACCATGGTTCGTTCGTAAAAAATCTCAGGACATTTTCCAATTTACTAATTAAACCACCATTACTTTGTTTTTTTTTAAAAAAAGAGAGGTATATATATGACTTCTGGAGCAACAACGTAACTACAGGTAATAGTAATACTATGAAAACTTGTCATCTCAATACCTATGGACATATAGAATCTGAATAAGCTGAGAGAAGAACACAGCTCACAAAACACGTGAATTGTTCCCTGAATCTGGGCATCATATAAGCCTTCTCATAAGGATAATAATTTAGCTTATTAAGGCTCATTTTGATTAAATAATTGTCAACTAATTGGAAAGATGCTAAGTAAGGACAGTAATTAATGATGCGTTTCTTGTAAAAACAAACTCCAGATCCCTAAGTCTTCTGTCTTAAGGAACTTAGTTATTACACTCCAGATCCTTTACGTTTTCTTACTCAAAACAATTATTAGTACTATAAGCTTGAGAATTTACACAAGATGTTAAATTTTTGGTATGATATTTTTCTTTTATGAGCTAAACTAGTAAATTGTATAGTATACTTATATTATTTTCACAAAGGGAACAATAGATATTCGTGTTGCTATCAATTAAAAGAAAAAAAATGAATTCAAAGAATGAGAACAGTTGCAAACTTATTTGTCTATGCATTTATGGTACTACATATGTTCTTCCAAATTGGTATTTTTTACGTTAACAATGACGACAACTGGTATTTACAAAAGAGCACTACCAACCCTGAAAAATTGAGCGAGCATACTCAGAAAAACTTTACGATTTATTCAATGACTACAATTATGAAGTTATCTGTCAACAGATTTGACATGTTACACGAAGAATTTGAAGAAAAAAATGATGAAAAAGACCACTAAAGAAAAATAAAAAGAAAGAAAAAAAGCATGAACCGCTTCATGAATACATGAAAGGCGCATTATTATAAGAAACTTTCCATTTAAAGCAAAGCTTTACGATGAATATTTGCAGCAAAGCTAACCGCTTCTTTCCCTTTTTCCGTTTCTAGATGATTGCTACTTTTTTTTGCTATCTTTTTCTTTCAACCCCTTTCCTTTTTTTAATCGGATCCAACATCTCTTATTTTATCTTAATTGATTTTACCAACCAAAGAAAATAAGCCTATGGGGCTTTGCATATGAGCCCAGCCCAAATACTTAGATTTCCCTATTATTTCGAAGATCAAGCACACAATTATTAGGAAAAAAAATATTGATTTGCATCTCTCATCTCGAATATTAAAAAGGAAATGTCAAAAACTTTTAATAATGCGACCAAAACAATGTCTAAATCGAAAAATATCAGCAAAAAATTAAAATACTAAGCCTGTTGACAAAATATAAGTTTCCTCACAGTCTAGATTCGACCCCGAAAAATATCAAAACCTCAAAAATTGACCGCGTGTCAAAAATCTAGTCGACATTCAAAATCTTGACAACAGAGGAACCATCAATCTTGTGCAAGGCCACGATGGAATCTCCAGCCTTGCATATCCCCTTCTTCTTTGCGAATTCAATGGCGAATCTAATCGTCTCATCCGTCGAATCCTTGTTCGAAGACCTAGCCGAAGGTCCCGTAGCCATCACGGGAACTATTCCCCGGTAAATCAAACCACGTCTCGCCACATGCGCTGCAGATTCTGAACACGACCACTCGAAATCATCCGTACGTGTGATCTCCGGTACGATAACCGACAGAATCGGTACACTCGGCCTGTATTTCGCAACAAGCTCCACCGTGTAACCTCCCTTGGTGAGAACCACAATCGCCGCCGCACATAGACTCCTTGCCGTCGAAACGGCTGAAGCGGCTAAGCTCTCGATTGGTGATAATGGCAACGAAACCATCTCTTGAATCTTCTTGTGCATCGTGTCGTAATCAATGAAATTCTCTGCTTCCTTACAGATCCTCGACATTGTAAGCACGGCGGTTTCAGGGTGAGCTCCGGCGGCTGTCTCTCCACTGAGCATGACACAGTCTGTACCGTCAAGAACAGCGTTAGCCACATCCGTGGCTTCGGCTCTAGTCGGACGTGGGGATTTGGTCATCGACTCAAGCATCTGTGTAGCTGTGACCACTGGTTTGCCGAGAGCATTAGCCTTCTGAATCATCATCTTCTGAGCAAGGAACATCTTCTCGATCGGAATCTCCATTCCTAAATCACCTCTAGCCACCATGAATGCATCAGAGTTCTCCAGAATCTTGTCAAAGTTCATCACTCCTTCTTGATTCTCAACCTGTAATAATAATCACAATGTGTAAGTATATAACTACAAAAATCAAACTAAACTTGAAGAAGAAAACAAAGTGCTCTGTTTTGTCAGAACTTACCTTTGACATAAGCATGATACTCTTTGCGTTCTCTCCAAGCAATTTCCTGACCTCGACAAGATCAGATCCTTTACGAACAAAGGAAAGAGCGATGATATCAATCTTATTAGGAACTCCCCATTGTATAATATCCTCTTGATCCTTCTCCGTGAGTGTTGGGAGATCAACTACGATTCCAGGGAGGTTCACGTTCTTTCTTTCTCCAAGAACAGCAGAGTTCTCGCAGCGGCAACGAACGAGACCGAGACTCCTGTCACAGGACAAGACGGTAAGAGAGATTGTGCCGTCGGAACAGAGAATCACGTCGCCAGACTTGAGATCTTCTGCAAGTTTCTTGTAACTCATGGAGATTGTGTTTGAATCTCCTTGCATGGTGTAATCAGTTGAGATTGTGATCTCTTGACCTTGAATAAGCTCAACCGGTTTGCCGTCTTTGAGAAATCCGGTTCGGATCTCAGGACCCTAAAAACCAAAAAAAAATAAACAGAGATAAAAATAAATCCCTCATCGAATCTTAAGTAACATAAGGAGAAGTTGAAAAGACGAAGACTTAATTAGGTTACCTTTGTGTCGAGCATGACGGCACAGGGAATACCAGAGTTCTCCATGGCGGTTCTGAGATTATCGAGAGTTTCTTGATGGTACGAGTGAGAACCATGAGAGAAATTGAACCGGGCTACGTTCATACCGGCATTGAGAAGCTTCTCCACCATCTCAACAGACCTCGAAGCAGGTCCGAGAGTACAGACGATCTTCGTCTTTGACCTTAGGGCTCCTTTGTTAGTTTGTCCACCAAGTAACATCTCCATTGTGAAAAAAAACCTAAAAACGCAGAGAAAGGTTTAGAGTTTGTTTGTGAGAAGAGAAAATAGAAAGGTCGTGAAGGTTTGTGAATTGTGAGGATTAGGGTCACGTATCTAGGTATATATATAAAAAATAATTTCCTGTTTTACATTATAAGAAAAGGAAAAAGGAACAACTTACTTTTATATATTGTCTTAATTATTGTCGGTCTTGTGTATCAAGTAAATAAATTTCCTTTTTTTATATAATAAAAAAACTTAGGAAACAAAATAGCGTTTTGGAAATAATGCTTTTCTTTTAACCGTTTTGGAAACAAAGTAATGCTGAAAACGAAAAAAGGAAAAGTTTCTTCTTGGCATTTTAATGATGTTCTTGCATCTCAAGAATAATAAAACTACAAGCCGTCATGAAGAGAGTATGAAACAAACAATTGAATATTTTACTAATTTATTAGTTGAAAGAAAATAATTAAAACAAAAATTTGATTACGATTGGAATAAAGAAGAGGGGAACAAAACTTTCGCCCCCGCTTACATATATCTCAAATCATCTTACTATCTTAGTTATCCCGGGGAATGTGTTTGCTATTCCCGTTGGTTTGGTGCAGTTTCATGCTAACATTGGGAAGACAAATGTGGTTGCTACTGTCATAGTAGTCAAGACCCCGGTGTGATCCCAATAGGTAAATGCGGTTTTTGGATCGTTAAACTCAACCTCTGACGACAGTGATATATATATGGTACGACTCGATTGATATACGATATGATTAGCTTCTTCATCACATAATATAAAGAAAAAGAAAATAAACGATGTGATTTGTTTTCTGGTTTGATACCAAAAAAAAAAAAAAAACTGTTGTGCTGGTGAGCAACTTCATGTCCGCACAGGTTATATAATTTTGTTTTTTTGACAATGAGAAAACTAAGAATCGGAGAATTATCCACCTCCAAACCGTTTTAGTACATACTATACTAGTATTATTATTATAATTATCACACACCAAAAACGAATCTAAGAAAAACATAAATTAATATTCCAGATTGAGAGGGAGCAAGTGCAACATCACACTAGGGTTTAGGGTTCGCTCTTTCTTAATTTCTCTCTCTCTCGCTGATTTCTTGGAAACAAGGGAAGGAAATGGTTGGTTTCAATTTCTTCTATAGTTGGGCCTTCCCTAGAGTTTCCCTATACCGTTGGGCCTTAGCCCAATTACTTTTCGGGTCCGGGTTATTAACTTATTCCGTTTCCTGACGAATGGCGATGATGTTGACTTTAAAAGGCCCATACTAATCCATTAACTAATCATTTGCTATCTGTATATTATATAATTTATTTTACTCCACGTAGCAGTCTGAATGACTTTAGGCCACGAACTTTTTTGAAAGGTTTCGTACATTAGAAATCATGTGTTCTCTGACCACTAGTAATTAATTTCACTAATAAAGGTTTATACAACGATTTGAATTACGTTTATATACCTAGAGCTGGATTACTGTTAATTTAACGATTAATGTATTTGTTAATTAAAATATTGTTATTGAAAATTACAGTCGACTGATCTGTATTATGTGGCTGAGTCCGGACCGGTATCTATAGTCCCTAAGTGGTCATAATAACCCGGTCAGGTTCGTTTTTCGATTTACTGATTTAAAGCTTTTCTCCTTGTTTTAACTAAAATCTCTTCACGTGAAAATTGATGCAATATCCACCTTTTTTTTCTTGAAAAACTTAGGTTGATTTGTGACGTTTGGTATAAGTAACAACGATGAAAAAAACAACAAAACAAAAATCAATAAAAGTTTTTAAGACTAATCTTCTTCATCTAGACATTGAATGTTAACAAAATATGAAACAAGCCTAGCTATAAGTGGTAAGAAAACGAACCTTTTTTTTTTTTGTTAACAAATCTTATGTTCGGGTTACGATGAAAAAAAGAAGAAGAATAATAACAAAAGATTCTTGACTTGAGAATGCGACTCACCTTTTTCACATTTTAAATTTCATTAATTATTATTATTCTCATTCTACATAATCACCCACTTTCTCCTTTCCGTGAGTATGTTTGTTTATTTGTCGAGCAAAAAAGAAAAAAAAAAATACAATTCCGTGAGTATTTTTTTTTTCCGGCGAATGTAGCCCACGTGTTGAAGTATGCTCCCTACGCGAGAGCTTCGAAGCATCATTAGTAAAGTTAGTCGTAAACACGAACAAGAATCTGTTATAATGAACGTACAAGGAAGAACCCATCTAGTCTCTATCACTCCCTCTCTTTATTTTCACTTGTAACAGTGACCTTTCGAATGGGTAAAAGGTAGACAAATTATAACAGAGACCAGAGTGCAAGTATTATCAAGAAATCAGAACTATTTATAACTAACCATCTCGGCATTAATCGTTACAAAGTTGATAAAAGCGGAACAATATCAAGAACTGTCTCTAAATTCTGAAATCTTGATTTGGTTTATAAACTAATTCACTTGTGATGCACCTTTACAAAAGCGCGGTAACTAAACAGAAACTTTGGCAAAAAAAAGAAAGAATCTTCAAGAGAAGAGTGAGTTTGATGAGAGATTCATTCAAGTAGACTTTATAATTTAGAGACTCTTGCGACACACAACATGGAAAGCATATTCTCTCACCCACATGGAGATGAAACTATTTTGGTAATATGCTCTTAATTATACTTTTAACTCAAAGATTATGATAGGTTCTTTCTTCCCGAAACCGAATAAAGTGTTCTGAGAAATCACAACCATGAGATATCGCCTATAAAGTTTTGTTCGGTATAAAATAAAATGCAAAGATATCATTCAAGGAACATAATATTTGTTTTTTGTTTTTTCATATAGCTTATGAACATATAGACCATATCAAAGCACTCACTCATTCAGCTAATGTGGGACTACAAAGAAAAACTGGATATATTCTCAGTTTCACATACTCTAGTAAATATCCTACGACTCCAACATTTGGCAATGACCTTAATTAATTATTCTACTGAAGGTGAGATGCCTTGACGGTGATATGAACGCATAAACTAGTCTTTGGAAACTCGGAAACTATAGACATCATCGAAATATAGAGTGAGAAAGTAGCCAAGCAATAGATGCAGTGATGCTTGATCACTTCTAAATATGTATGAACATATAAACACACACACATGGACCGGAGATATAATTTGTTATTAGATCAGACAAGAAAGGCTAGAAACATAGCAAAACAGAGGCAATGGAGGGGCCAAAATGTTTTTAATTTTTGGTGCTAATCAAAGAATGATAAGAAATGGGACCCTCCAGTGTTTTTATACTGTGTGGAGAGAAGAGAATAGGTACTAAACTTGTTGAAGGAGACAGTATGAAAAATATTCTTTATCATCTTTTAAAGCAAAGCAATGTTTCCAAACTTTCATTTGTTTGCTTAATCTCAAACCAATATGATATATATGGCTTCTCTGATATATGGACTGAGTCGAAAAGTGTTTTCATCATACAGTACAACACATTCTTGAAACATGGGAAGCTTTTTAATATCATCAGTAACAACAGCTGACTAAAAGTCTTTGATATATAAAAATATGAGACTCATATATAATGTACCTAGAGACCGAAAATGACTCCATGAATAAGGAACAAATACAATGGAGACAAATGAAAAGCATTGAGAATATTCCAACAAGAGTTAAGAGAGCTGTGACTATGAAAATATCAAAGAATAAGAAAAGAAGTTAGGAAAAAATAAGGGGAATAAGATACTTCTCTGCCAGAATGGCGAAAGAATGCGCATATGATGCATTAATTGTGGATCAATTCTGGTATCTCTAATTGGGGTTGAAAAGTTGTGTAGTAGTCCCATAGGAATCAATACATGAAATTAAAAATTAATGTAATATCAATCCATCCACAAACAAAAACTATAACAGTAGTTCAAAAGATAAGGACACAATTCTAACAAAAGCATCGATTGGACCAGTTATTCATATTCCATACCTTAATCATCCTTCTCTAATTTTTCCCTCTTTTTTTCCTCCATTCAACTTCCTATATAAAGCAAAGTTGCACCAAACCAACCTGAGAAAAAAATATAAAGAACAAGTAAGCATAAGCAGCCAAAAACAAAAACAAAAAACATCTTCCTTAGTTCGTGGAGTTTTACACTCTTTTGGAACTTCTGAGAGAAGCAGTGTTTGTATACAAGACCTAAGATCGAGTCAGGTAAAAAGAAAAAACATGGATCATGAAAATCATTGTTTAATTGGCGACTGAACTTACATTTGCCTTTTTTGTGAACAGACTTTATGTATTACCAAAACCAGCACCAAGGAAAGAGCATCCTCTCTTCTTCAAGAATGCACATAAGTTCTGAGAGGAATCACTTCCTCAGAGGGAATAGTCCAGGAGATTCTGGACTCATCCTTTCGACCGATGCAAAGCCACGCCTTAAATGGACTCCCGATCTTCACGAGAGATTCATTGAAGCAGTCAATCAGCTCGGTGGAGCAGATAGTGAGTTATATCTCTTTAGCAAAAGAACTAATCATCCTCTGACCAGCAAGGCTTTTGTTTAGAATTTTTGTCTGTTCTCTTTTGCAGAAGCTACTCCTAAGACAATCATGAAAGTCATGGGTATTCCTGGCCTTACCTTATACCATCTCAAAAGCCATCTTCAGGTTAGCCATCATATCAAGACTAACCACATATATGCTTTTCTCGACTACTTTCTCTGCGATAGATAAAACTCTTATAGCTAAAAAAATATTAACAAAACTTCATGGAACTGGGTACCAGAAATACAGGCTGAGCAAGAATCTCAACGGACAAGCTAACAGTGGCTTGAACAAGATAGGTAAATTTTATTAACATCAACAAGATTCACAGGTTTATGAACTTTCAAACTCTAAATTCTTACAAAGATCTAAATTAAGCATGACTTGTACATAGGTATGATGACCATGATGGAAGAAAAGACCCCTGATGTAGACGAAATTCAGAGTGAGAATCTAAGCATTGGACCACAGCTAAACAAGTAAGGTTATGACTATTATATGTCTATATATCGTAAATTAGCTTATCACAAAAATGATCTAATTAATCTACTTGCACACAGGAACTCGCCAATAAATGAAGCACTGCAAATGCAAATAGAGGTCCAAAGAAGGCTCCATGAGCAACTTGAGGTATCATATTCATACAACTCTGTTCTTCACTCCAATTAAAAAACATTATAGATTCTTGCAAATCTTGAAACACTTAAGAGAATGATCATTCTTTGTAAAAACATAATCAAAATTCTGCAGTGTACTGTATAATTTATCTTTGAAAAGGTGCAAATTACAATAGAGGATAAGTTTATAGTATGTAGAAAGATAAAAGCATTAAGTTTACATGTTGGTATTTAAACTGAGCCAGGTACAGCGACATTTGCAGCTCAGGATAGAGGCTCAAGGGAAGTACCTGCAATCGGTGTTGGAGAAAGCACAAGAGACTCTTGGAAGACAGAACCTGGGTGCAGCTGGAATCGAAGCTGCCAAAGTTCAACTCTCAGAATTGGTATCTAAAGTATCAGCAGAGTACCCAAACTCTAGTTTCCTAGAACCAAAAGAAGTTCAAAACCTATGCCCACAACAAGGTCAAACAGCCTATCCACCTGATTGCTCTCTTGAAAGTTGCCTGACCTCAAGCGAGGGAACGCAGAAAAACCCGAAAATGCTAGAGAACAACAGATTAGGACTAAGAACATATCTTGGTGATTCAACATCCGAGCAGAAAGAGAATATGGAAGAACCATTGTTCCAAAGAATGGAGCTCACATGGACAGAAGGTCTAAGAGGGAATCCATACCTTTCGACAATGGTTAGTGAAACAGAACAAAGAGTATCATATTCAGAGAGAAGTCCAGGTAGATTATCAATAGGAGTCGGGTTGCAGGGACACAAAGGTCATCAACAAGGCAACAATGAGTATACAGACAAAAGTGAGGATCATAAGTTTGAAACACGAAACCACAGGAAAGGCACGGATTCAACAACAGAGCTAGATCTCAACACACATGTTGAAAACTATAGTTCAACGCGTACGAAACAGTTCGACTTGAATGGTTTCAGCTGGAACTGAGAAAGGATTAACCAAAAAGTTAGAAGACAGTTTCAATCATTTCTGGGTTCACAAAGGAGAAGAAACCTATTAGGGAACTCCTCGATCCAAAGATACATTTTGAGTCAAGATTCTTGATTGAGGATAATGTACCAAACTATTCATTGTTTATATACAGTACCTCCGTTCCCATTCATATATACAGAGAATTACCTAACTTGATAGACACTCATCTAAATTTATGAAACACTCTTATTTTCATTATTTTCTTTTCTTTTATGGAAAGAGTGAACCGGAATTTATAATAGAAAAACTCAAAACCTAACCATAGCGGACCGAACCGGAAATGCGTTAGTAAACCTTCAATAAATCGAAACACAACCGTATCGGACCGTTGCGAATTAATCTTACACATATTACTGTCATTAATCACTCTTGTTCTAGCCTACATAAACAATTTAACGAAAATGTAAACCGGCCCGGCACGTGATTCATAAGAATAAGTATTGAAATCACAGACCGGTATGGTCAGTGAACTTGCTCACAACCTCTTGTTCCATTTCTACAAGTTGGTGGCAAAAAGCTTCAACGTCTTTCACCTCTTCTTCGAACTCAAACCTAAACTCTCTCCATTGATACTCATCTCCAGCCTCTTCTTCACTCGGTACCTTCCCCAGCAACTTGAAACCTTTCTTATCCACTGATACCATATAAGCATCCTAATGGCCAAAACAAAATACCGGTAAATGACCAAACTAACACAGAGAACCCGAAATCCAGAACTCATGATATAAGCTTTTATTTTTACCCTTGCGTTTACGTCGAGATAGTATAAACAGAAAAGAATCAAAGCCCGTCTTCTTGATTCGTTCTTGTTGATTCCATCGACAAATTTTGTTGACCAAATGCCTGTGAATTAAAATCCAGTGCAAAAACCTTAACATGAAGCAAACCAAAAAGCTTGATCCATAGCTTTGGAAACAAATGTCATTGGTTTCATTACCTAATGGATCTGCTTTTGACAGTTCCAAAACCTTCAAGTCTATTTCTTTCGTGGCACCATTTGGGTCAATAAACATACATGAGCTGAGAAAAAAACCAGATAATCTCAACTGATAATAAATTCGTCATCATAATTCGTAAGATAATCTTTCTATAATCGGTTCTATACCACTTCTCTCTGCTGTTATTTTTTAAGACAATTACATGAATGTAAGTAAGATTAAATAAACAGTAAGATCTTTTCTTCAGTTAAGCTCAAACTGAAATATTAGTTTAGTTACGCATAAATAGAGATGGGTTTGTGTGTGTTTACCTTGGAACGAACTTATAAATAACGTATTTTTCTTTTGCATCAGCGACCAGAGCTCGAAGAATCTCACACCGGGAGGCATACATCTGATCACATGAATTCAAGATACTGCGAACAGAATTCGAACTCTCACTAATCGCTCTCTCCTCTGACTGTATAGCTTCCTCGACATATTTATTCACTGCCTCAACCTTTTATCAAGAAAACAAGCATGGTGAAGTTAATAGAGAAAGAAAAGCTATGACTGTCTCCAAATTAGAAGTTCCATGGTTCGTACCCTTTTCTCTTTAACAGGGATAATCTCTCCAGTAAAAGCAACCCGGTCTGGAAGCTGCAAAGAAAGTCAATCCCGATTGAGTAAGAGTGATACAGACTCAAGAACCTGTAATGTAAAAAGTTTTAAAAGGATTCAACCTAAGATAAGATACTGAGTGCAGAGAAGAATAAATAGACACACAAACCTTTCCAATAGACTTGAACAAAGCTGCGAGGGGACCAGGATACGGATGGGCAATGGTCAAGGATCCACGTTCATCAAACATTATGTTCTGCCAAAATTAGAGATTAGCTTAAAGTCATAGACATGTTATATGTAACTAAGTTCAATTACGTTGCGTATGGTCAGCATTATAAACAAATCATTCAAAACTAAGTAACAGTAAGAAGAACGAAAGCTTACGACATTGTGCGGTTCGCTTTCTGGTACCCAGAGATAGGGCTTTCCTCGTCTCATCACGTACTTAATCTTTGAAGTATGTATTATACTAAGCAAAGCAGCCAAAAAAATACTTGGATTCAAAATTACAGTTTTGCAGGATCCCATGATCGACATTGAATAGAACTTACTTTCTAAGTACCCAGCAAGCGATCTCAAACTAGCGAAGCTAAAATATATGAAACTAAGATAAATTCGTCGGAAAGAACCTAGCTTTATCTTCAGGTTTGATGGTATTTAGGTAGCCTTGCCAGTTGGAAACGATTACAGTCTGCAAAGGGAGAAGAAATTAGCCGAGGAATTTTCAATCGATAACAAAGAAAGAGCTTCAATTTCAGGAAGGAAAACGATTAGAGATAAGAAGAGGTACAGACTTTGCATCTCTCCGCTAGTGCAGAGAGATTCGCCTTGCTTCCTTTCATCGAGCTCTATGCTCACCAAGTGTTCGACGAAATACCTCTTTCCGAACGATCTCTCTCACTCGCAATATTTGGTGAACTCAAAGGAGGAAGGAAGGTAACGGTCTGTTTAGAACAGAGCCAATGGCCCATTAGTGCTGTTAGAAATACCCAAAGATGACTCTAAACTATAAGGCCCATTATTATTTTTTTTACTTGGTTATCAAATTTTGTTGTTGTTGTTGTGAACGTGGTCCTCAAATTTTGTTGTTATTATGATGTTCATTTTTTAATGTCGACGACTCCCACTGATTTCTCTGGCTGATAAATCAAAAATTTGATAATTATCTATAAAGACCAACCGGGACTAATTACATGCTTTTTATACATATGTGTTAAATGCGTGTTTTGTTGATGGTGCTATCAAATCAAGAATCTCTATCGTCACACTTCTTATTTTTTTGGATGTTTCTGATATATAATTAACATAACACACGCATCTCATCGGCTTTTCTTCTCGTAAGTCCGTTTGTACGTACTCCATCGTGAAGATAATCACACTTTTTATAATAGAGAAAACAATTTTTAGTCTATACACACACACACACTACCTAACCATACTTCATTGTGACTACTTCAAATTAATAAGCTAAAAATATACACCACAGTTATTAAAGTACGTCTATTTTTATTTTATATAGACTAATAAAATCTTGTTTTCATCTAATTAATTTCTTTTGGTGCTCGCTGTATATTATCATATACTATAATGTTTTGGAGCGGTGTGGGACGCAGAAAACCAATTTAAGCACACGAAAGCGATATTAACCTACAAAATTTTAACGTTTCTTAATACGTACGTGTGAACTTCCAAAAGGTTCAAGTGTTGTGCTTAAGATTAATTAACTTTCATACTTGAAATAGAAGTATATATGTATTTCTTTAATCCTCATACCAAGCCACTAATAACACTTCGCCAGCTATGTTGGTTAGGCCTACATAGCAACAACAATACATGCAGGGTATAGACTAGTATAAAGATATTTTAATGGTCGGTTTGTGTTTCAAAGGCCGGTTTTGACTCTGTTTCCTTCTTCTTCCTTCTTTTGGTCTATCTTACCTATTTGATCTCTTCTTCCTTCTTCTTCTTTCGATCACTCAGATTTTGTTTTTGTCAACTTAAACTAATCATTTTCTTTTCTTTATTTATATATATATCTTACACTTCTCCCAATTCTTCTCATTCTTAAAAACATTAAAACCCCATCAAATTCTTCCTTCAAAGTTCGTAACTTTTTGTTTTTTTTGGGTAAAGGGTTTTCAAAGTTCAAAAATTTCCCAGATAAAATCAATTAAAGATCTCTTCTTTTCCAACGTCAAGAGCAAAACTTTTCCGGAAAAGAAAAAAACAGAGGAATCGCCAAAAATGAATCATCGAGCGAAACAGAGCACCATAACTAACGCCACAGTTGTCTTTATCATCGTCTCCTCCGTATGTTTTTTCTCCGGCGGGGTCTCTGGCTTGGGAGTAAACTGGGGAACAATGGCGACTCATCAGTTACCGCCGAAGACGGTGGTGGAGATGCTTAGAGACAACAACATACAGAAAGTGAAGCTGTTCGATGCCGACACGAACACGATGGGAGCTCTCGCTGGCTCAGGCATCGAAGTGATGGTGGCCATCCCTAATGATCTGCTCAAAGCCATGGGAAACCCCCAAAGAGCTAAAGATTGGGTCCAAAGAAACGTCTCTCGATTCAACTTTAACAACGGCGTTAAGATCAAGTACGTTTTTTTAATATTCTTTGTTATGTGATTATAATTAGTCGAATTTTATTTTTATTTAACCGACTTATTATATACTTTTCTTTAATTTTGAGATTTATTGACTATGACCAATCAGGATTGCTATAAAGTTTGTTTAACATGTTAGTAAAATTGTTTTATTTTTACTTAAGTGATATCGGGGTGATCTGAAAAGGGAAAATCAGATATTATATCCCTTTCGGAATTATTGGAACTTTACAGCAGGATTATTTTATAACTTTGGTTACTGTTTTATTTAGTTTTAACAAAGAAAATAAAAATGATAACAAAAAGTGTTGACCAAAAAAAAAAAAAGGATTTAGGAGGTCAATAATAATCCAGAGCCCACCTGATTAGACAAACTGAGGTGAGCTCCAATCCTTTACACGTTGGTTTTTGGCGTTCTGACTTAGTTGGACAACCTAAAATTTTGATTCTCTTCTGTTTTATCTGTGAAATTGTATTATTGGCCGACTTATTATAATAATAAGTTAATCATTTTTTTATTTATCAGTTTAATTATATCAGTTGTTAACCTATTATTGTTGTTGAATAATGCATACATCTGAAATAATTAGTTATTTGAATTTGCCAATTTGGTTTATGCATCTATATGGACCATCATGTGTGTGTATTAAGCCACCATATTCATATTTATTCAACCCATATTTCATATGTATTCAAATATGGGTCGTCATGTGTGATTTTGTGCGTCAAGCTCTATTTATTGCACATGAATCCAAAACGTAGTCTGAATCTCTCTTTTTCATCAGTTCCTCTTTATTGCAAAGATGAATACTTTGCTGATATCGATGTCATGTGAAATGTTCACGCATGTTTACTAACATAAGAACATATATAACTTTTATAGAAGTTTTAAATTATTCTTGAATTATGATTACTTTAAATTAACTAGTAATATCAATAAATAAATTCTACTTTATTTATTTTGGCAGATATGTTGCTGTAGGGAACGAGCCGTTCTTGACAGCATACAACGGATCATTCATAAACCTAACGTACCCGGCACTCTTCAACATCCAAACCGCTTTAAACGAAGCAGGAGTCGGTGATTTCATCAAAGCCACCGTTCCTTTAAACGCTGACGTTTACAACTCTCCTCCGGACAACCAAGTCCCATCCGCCGGAAGATTTCGTTCCGACATCATCCAAGAAATGACACAAATCGTTAACTTCCTCGCACAGAACAAAGCTCCTTTCACCGTCAACATCTACCCTTTCCTCAGTCTCTACCTAAGCAGTGAATTCCCTTTCGACTACGCTTTCTTTGACGGCCAAAACACCGTTAACGACAACGGTGTTATCTACACGAACGTCTTCGACGCTAATTTCGACACGCTTTTAGCTTCTTTAAAGGCGTTGGATCACGGCGACATGGAAGTGATCGTTGGAGAAGTTGGTTGGCCTACTGATGGAGACAAGAACGCTAACGTTCCAAACGCGGAGAGGTTTTATTCCGGTTTGCTTCCGCGCTTGGCGAACAACGTAGGGACTCCTGTGCGTAAAGGTTACATTGAGGTTTATCTTTTTGGATTAATCGATGAAGATGCAAAAAGCGTAGCCCCGGGAAACTTCGAACGTCATTGGGGGATATTCAAATTCGACGGCAAACCCAAGTTCCCGGTTGGTTTTGGAGGACAAGGGCAGAAAAAGTACTTAACCGGAGCTCGAAACGTTCAGTACATGCTAAACCAGTGGTGTATGTTTAATCCTAATGGTCGTGGCAATATGAGTAAGCTCGGAGATAACATAGACTACGCGTGCTCGCTTTCGGACTGTACCGCTTTAGGTTACGGGTCATCTTGTGGCAATCTTGATGCGAATGGGAATGCGTCTTATGCGTTTAATATGTACTTCCAAGTGCAAAATCAAGAAGCTCAAGCTTGCGATTTTGAAGGGCTTGCGACGATCACTACTAGGAATATATCTCAAGGACAATGTAATTTCCCGATCCAGATCGGAGAGCCATCGTCAGGTCATTATGATTATAGCTATGGTTCGATGGTTAAGTTGTGTTTGGTGATGAGTGGCTTAGTGTTTCTTCTCCTATCACAATGAGAAATTACGTTTGTGATTGTTGTATATGACTGATTCTTGGGTTCATCATTCATTTGAAGGCTTTGTTCCATTGGGTCAAATCCAAAGTACGTTTTGTTTTTCTAACCAAAGAGATTTTAAAGACATAATCCTAACAACTAACGTAAGAAAATCAAAGCTTCTAAATTGAAAATTTAATTTTGATTTTTTTAATTTTTTTAAGGGTGTGTTGGAGAAATAGTACATTTTTGAAACTTAATTATATAACTAGTACAATCACTATTTACAATTAGGAAACTAGTACATTATCACTATTTGCTACTATTTTTTTGACCTTTAAGCACTCAAAAAACATATTATTTACAAGTATGCCATTAGAATAATTATATAATGATTATATAATATAACTCGTACATCATATTTTATGTACAGAAGTGTAAAAACATATATTTGTACAATAATAAAAATATTACACAATAACATCCGTACAACATATTAGTGTACGAATATGTACATAAATATGCATAAATTCATATATCATAGTAGTTGTACAGATAAAAATGTGTAATTTTTTATACATGCGTACATATAGTAAGCTGTACGGGGTACTCTGTACATCTAATCAAATATACACAAACGTCTGTACATATACTAAATTGTACAAATACGTCTGTACATATACTCTGTACATCTAATCAAGTGTACACAAACGTCTGTACATATACTAAATTGTACAAATACGTCTGTACATATGCTTTAATGTACAAAAAATATATATACATATGAAATGTATTTAAATTATACTAAGCAAAATGCATATCAAATTATAGAGAAAAAACATAGATTTTTGTGAATCAAAAAAAAAGTTTGAAAAAAAATTACAAAACCAAGAATTTTTAGTTATTAGAATGTTGGGGTAAGAATATTTAAAAGAATAAAATTAAAAAAAACAAAAAAAAAACAAAAAAAAAACGAAAATCGGAAAACAACAAAAACTGCCCTCCCTTGTCATTTTTTTTCTCCTTCTTTTTCTATCTCACAAATTATCTATCTCACAAATGTACTACTTTACCAATTTTAAATAGTAAATGTATCACTTTCCCAATTAACTTCTCAAAATGTACTAAATATCCTATTAATCCTTTTTTTAATAAGAGTTTGTGATTATAATTTCCTTTTTCTTAGTAATAAAATTGAATATATTTTTCCTTTTTTGGCGTAAAAGGAAAAACTTAACTTTGGTTTGCTGTTGACTTCTCGCACACAAAAGGAAGTAATTCACATAAAGGGACATGAATGTTTTAATTTGAATTTTTAAACTACGCTTTTAAATTATTTTAAAATTTTGATATATTTGGACTGGGAAATGTTTTTACAAGAGAGAACCACCATTAGCAATAATGACTTGACCGTTGATCCATTCACCAGCGTCACTGGCTAAGAACCCAACAACAGGTGCAATGTCTTTAGTTTCACCGATCCTACCAAATAAGTTTTGCGACTTTACTTTCTCAACAATATCATTGCTCAGCCCTGTAAAAAACATATCTGTGGCGACAGGTCCAGGAGAAACACAGTTTACTGTGATATCTGTTCCTTTGAGCTCTTTTGCAAGAATCTTGGCCATGACTTCTACTGCTCCCTTTGAAGCCGTGTATGAGCCGTAGTGTGGATTTAAGGATTGGACCAGTGAAGTTGAGAGGAGGATTATCCGGCCACCGCCTCCACGTTTTAGCCTGTTCGCAGCTTCTCTAGCGCAAAGAAACGCTCCTCTTGTGTTGACACTGTTATCATACAACGAATCTTGATTATTTTTTATTACTTATGATTAAAACATTTTTATAATTCGTGCAAAGGAATAAATAAAATATGGCCTTTAAAATTAAACCAAACCTTATAATGCGATCAAAAAGTTCTACTGATGTGTCGGAGATAGTGGAATGGTCAGGATCGGCTATAGCCGCTGAGTTAACCAAGATATGAACCGGTGAATCGAAGACTCGCTCTGCCTCGTCGAAAAGTGACTTCACCTGGTTCGGGTCGGAGATATCGGCCTTCACCACAATAACACGTGGACTTTTACCCGCGACGTCCTCTGAATCGTGGTTCTTGGGAAGGTTGGTTGTAATGGCCATTGCAACTTTATCGGCCTCGACGGAGTTAGTGGAGTAATTAACGACGATCTTAGCCCCAAGCTCCGCAAGATGGAGAGCTATGGCACTGCCTATACCTCGAGACGATCCCGTGACTATGGCGACTCGGCCGGCGAGGCAGAACGTGGGAGAAGAAACTGGAGACGCGGCAGCCATACGAATGAGATTTTTTTCTTAATCAATATTGTTATTTTTCTTACTATAATTTTTATTTTAGGGTGGACATGACATCGTGCTATATGTGTGTAAAGCAATTTGTAGTGGTGCTCGTTTAGATATGTCTTAATCAGTCAAATTCGTATGCAATTTAAATTGCTTAAAATGTTCAATTCGTATGCAATTAAAACTGCTTAAAATGTTTGCATTTGTTTGGAACGAATTAAAATATTACCTACTTTTCGTTTTACATTTTCATTTTTTTTCTTTCTGTTCTCTACAATTTACCCACTCGTACACATACAGACGTATAAAAAAGATTATGTGAAGGATAGACATACATAGAGTATTGAAGAAACACTTTAAAAAGTTGAGGCTAGATGACTTGTTGATTATCACCCCCCCCCCATTATATGCCAAATGCTTTTATACTTTGATCCGATGTGATGATGGTAGAATTTTATTAGTACAAAATACACTTTTTGTCTCCATCATTTAAAATCAGAACTAAGAAGGAGTTCGACGACAATGTAGATAGTTGCATCAAATCACTAACGGAGAACTTACGAGAAACAAACATATATGGATAGGAAATATTCATTATAAAGCAAAGATAAGATAAGATAAGATTTCTATTTCTAATATTATTTGTTCATTATTCTCCAAAATAAATCCAGTAAACCAAAATAAGTAATCAAAGAAGCTCTTGAATAAAATGAAAACGAGAGAGAGAGAGCCACACGTGTCAAGTGAACAATCTTATCTTAGGATAGATATTGAGATTTGACAAAGCCAAACTGTCCTCCACAAATAGAGGCCTTTCCTTTTTTCCTAAAGTGGACCCCACACACACAAGTTCCATATTCTTCCAATTTTTTCACTCTCTCTCAAACCCAAAAATAAAAATAAAATTATATAAAAACAAAAAGAGCGGTCACCGAGGAAGGGCTCGCCGGAGAAAGTGAGCAAGCTGAGCCGGAGCACTGAGATGCGGCAAATGCCCTTCCGTTTTAAGCTGCTCTACAGTCGTATCCCCACCAAGATGAGCCCTCAGATACTCCGCCACCGATGCCGGCACAGACACGTCCTTGGCCGTCTGAATCACGCACGTCGGAACTCTAACCAACCCTAGCACACCTCTCAGATCGCTGTTGAACACCGTCCTCGACACGAACAGAGATATATCCGGACGCATATTGAACAGAGTCCTGCTGAATTCCCTAACCGCCGCCGGTACATCCGCTCCGACGGCGAGCGGAGCGAATCCGTGAACCCAAGCTTCGTAATTAGCTTCCATAGCCGAGAAAACCTTCTCGATCTCGCCTTCTTCGAACCCGCCGTGGTAATCCTCGTCGTTGAGGAACCTAGGAGAGAATCCGATGAGGATCAGCTTGGAGAAAAGCTCAGGGCGACGAATGGAGGCGATGATTCCGATCATAGCGGAGACGGAGTGGCCGACGTAGGCGCAGGTGTGGATACCGAGGGAATCGACGATGTTGAGGAGGTCGTCGACGTAAGGATCGAGAGTGGTGTAGCGATTGAAATCGAAGTAGTCGGGGTTGACACTGCCGGCGCAAACGAGGTCGTAGAGGACCACTCTGTAGGTTTGGGTGAAGTAAGGAAGGATCAGGTGCCAAGCTGATTGGTCCGTGCCGAATCCATGGGCCAAAAACAGGATCCGATCACCCGTACCCACCACCCGCACGTTTAGAGCTTCTAAGATGTTGTGTTGACTCATCTCCTTCTTTCTTCTTCTTTTTATCTCTAAGATGGTTTCGATGGGTAATAAAGATGAGGCTTGGCTTCGATACTGTTTATATAATAATAAAAAAACTTATTAATTGGGTTGGTGTGTGTGTGTCTCTCTCTACTGCAAAAATTGTAATTCTTTTTCTTTTCTTTATTTTATTATATCCAATACTACTACTACTTCCTACTTTAGATTGGCTTTTTGAGTTTATGGGATACAAAGATCATGCGTTGATTATTCGTCATACATTCATTTTGATTTTTTTTTATATATATATAAAAGAAGATTTAAGATGCTTGGAGGATATTGTTTTCTTTAAAGACTTTTTAGGTGTTGGGTTGCACTTGAGATATTCTTAACCATTTTTTGTATTCGTATGGTGTTATTTAAAGTGATTTTATTATAAAACATAAAGTGGTTTCAATGAATGTGTCAGTACGAAGACACGACTACGTAAATTGTATTAACTGTGTGGATATATTAAGGTTTTTCTTTTGAAAAATAATGCATGTCGACGACGACAAAGCAAAAAAAAACAAAAAAAAACTTAAAGGATGTCGACAAAAAAATAAAATAAATTGGATTTTATAATTTTGGACGTATATAATAATTATAAGCTGTACGTGACTCATGAGTGTTTAATATTAGGGCTGTGTGTGTTAGTTAATAAAAATGACGTTATTTTCAATCTGAATGTTTATTGTTTATTCCAATTCGAACCCCCAATGTTTCAATTTAATCAACTTAACACCCTACCAAGATATCAGGAAGAAGAGGCTCCTCTTAAGAGTTAAATACCATATCTTTTACACATATCCACCATTAACTGGAATGATTTGTCCATTGACCCATTCACCACCATCACCTGCCAAGAATCCAACAAGAGGCACCACGTCTTTGGCTTCACCCACCCTCCCAAACGGAGACTCTGCGGCTATCTTCTCAACCAACTCTGGGGTCTTTCCATCAAAGAACATCTCAGTTGCAATGGGTCCTGGAGCAACACAGTTTGCAGTGATCCCTGTGCCTTTGAGCTCTTTTGCAAGGATCTTGACCATGGTTTCCACAGCTGCCTTTGATGCTGCGTATGCACCATACCCCACTCTCAAGGATCGGGTTGTGGAAGATGTTAGTAGTATGATCCGACCTCCTCCTCCTTGTTTTAGCCTATTGGCAGCTTCTTTGCTGCACAGGAACGCTCCTTTTGTATTGACACTACAGTCCATAAGAAACAAACATGAGGATTATTGGAGATATAAGAATGTCCAAGCGTAGATGATGTGACAGAGAAACAAGAAACTGAAGTTAATATTTGATTCAAAACTACACATACAAAATCACACCTACATGAGAGATACGAGCCTGATTAAGTACAGATATGACAATGGATGAAACAAGAAACATAAGTTGAATTTTTGATTAGTTAGACAAAACAACAAGTAACAGGTTTCAATTGACTAGACAAGCAAATCTCACCAACAAGGAACATTGGATATTTAAGATTCATATAGAGCAGACAAGAACACCAGATTCAACAATGACTGAAACAAAACAAAATCTCAGTTGAGAAAATATACCAAAGAAATCAGCTTTTTAACTAAAAAACATAGAGGCCATTGTCACATCTAATTAGAACTTAGACATAATCATCTGGATTAAGCGGGAAGATGAGAACCCAATCAATGAACAATATCCATTATACCTGAAGATGCGGTCGAATTCTTCGACTGAGGTGTCAGCAATCGTAGGGTATTTGGGATCGAGAACTCCAGCCGAGTTAACCAGAATGTGAACCGGCGCTTCAAAGGCACTCTCCGCAGCATCAAACATGGCTTTCACCTGACTTGGCTCGGAGACATTGGCCTGAACCACAATGGCTCTTGGACCCTTTCCTGTGATTTCTTCCCTAACTGGGAAACCATTGATCTCAGTCGCTACACGCTCGGCGTCCGCGGCTTTAGAGGTGTAGTTGACAACAACCCTCGCACCGAGTTCAGCGAGGTGGATAGCTATCGCTCGGCCAATACCACGGGACGAGCCGGTGACGATGGCGACTCGTCCGGCGAGTGGAAGCGGCGGTTGCGAAATTGACGACTGTGTTGTAGTCATAACGAATTGAATTCAGTGGCGTAAATGAGAGTGAAGAAGACCAATTGAGAGTGTCGGTCGCCTCTTTTATTATCGGTTCCAAAATAGAATTTTGGGGAATGGTAAATAATATTCACTTCGTTGACAAAAAAAAATAAAAAAATACAACATTCATTCAAGAGTAAGAATATATTTTCCATAAAAATTTGTCAAATTTGATATCTGGACAATAGAAAATTTAATTAACCGGGATATTATCATCATCCTACACAAACCCACAACTTATTAATCAATTGAAAAGGCTCGTGGATCAAATGGGCCTGTCCTATATTTTTGGGCCGTATCCGAAATTTAAAAGATAAAATTGGTTAATTGCATTTGGAATGATATTTATTCTAGTCAAATTCATATTTCCTTAATTGAATACCAAGACCATTGGATTTGTACCAAAATTGGGGAATGTAAATGGGGAAATCAAATTCATTTGATAGTAAGAAATACTAACAATTTACAAATTTAAAAATCACCCAAAACTTTACCGGTTTGTGTAAAATTCACATTTAAAATAACTAAATCAACTCTTATGATCTTTATTTTGGGGTAAACTAAAAAACCTCTCAAAGTAGTATCCTATTTCTTTGCTAAAAATTTAAATCAAAAGGTTCTTAGAATTAAGAAGTTATTCAAAATCATGCTATCTAATTACTATCAAGCAGTCACTTTAAAAAAAAAACAGTTTTTTTTTTAAAACCCTTTGCACAATTAAACTAAACTAAATGAAGTAACACCAATTAAATTGGTAAAGGTCCTATTTGGTTGAAATACAAACGTTGGTACCATTTCGATAAATACAAATAAATAAAGGGGTAGAAATGCTTGAGACCCAAAAATTACGGAGACATGCCCTAAACAAACCCGCCCATCTCAGCAAACTCTCAACATTCAAAAAAATAAATAAAGTTGAATCCTTTTATTTCTTCGCGTCGTATCGTAGTAAGATTAGAGAGAGAGGAAGAGCGATTTCTCTCTATTGGTGGTTTCTGAGGAGTTTCAGTTTCTTGGGTCTTTCTTGGAATTTTGTTGGGGTCAATCTTCGCAATCAGGCACTGGTACGCTTCTTCGCCACTTCCGCTTTTCATCATCATCGACTTCACTTTCTCTGAATTCGAAAACTCTGTCTTTTTCGATTAGGGTCACTGTTCTTTCATTCCTTTATGTTCAATTCGCTTGAGATTTGAACCAAATTTCGTGTATTTATCATTTTCCTTCGATGATATTTATGGTCACTGATCAAGATGTTCATTTTTGTTATAAAAAAGATCAGGTTTTTTTGGGAAGATGAAATTAATCTTGTGCGAATGATGTTCTCTGTTTGGTTCACCGAAGAAATTTGATATTTTTATTTTTCGTTTTTGGAATTGAGTATTGGTTTTGGTACAATCATCATATCTGAATTGGTGTTGATTGATTTGTTTTCCTTATTCGGATATGGTTTACAATCACTGATTATACTTATTTTGGAAAAGTTCTGTCAGGATACTGTATTCTTGTCACTTAAGAGGGCATGATAATTTACGCTACTGTTCTTATTGAATTCATTGTGACTCTTTTTGTTTTCAGACGAACCAGGAGGGCAGAAAATGGGTAGAAATCTCGGTTCAGCATTTAGACAAGAGTTGGCTAATCTTGACAAAGATCCAGATTCCCACAAGACTGCAATGAGCAATTTGAGATCGATTGTGAAAGGTTTGGATGCAAGGGTGATTCATGTCTTTGTTGCTCAACTTTCTGAAGTCAAAGAGATTGGTTCTGAATCTGGTGGCTACACGGTTTCTCTCTTCGAAGACCTTGCTCGTGCTCATGGAGTCAAAATCGCTCCTCATGTAGAAATTATCATGCCGGCGATCATAAGGACGCTGAGCTCTAGTGAAGGGTCTTTACCTGTTCAACAGGCTTGCGCAAAGGCGGTAGCTGCTATGGCTAGATATGGAATTGATCCTACTACACCAGAAGATAAGAAAATGATTGTGGTTCACTCTCTTTGTAAGCCACTCTCTGATTCTCTTATAGATTCTCAACATAAACAGCATCTTGCTTTGGGATCTGCTCTTTGCTTGAAGTCACTTGTGGATTGCGATAATTGGCGATCTGCTTCTGGTGAAGTGGTTAATAATGTTTGTCAAAGCCTAGCTGTTGCCCTTGAAGCCACTTCAAGTGAAGCAAACTCTCATATGGCACTTGTTATGGCACTTGCCAAACACAATCCTTTTACTGTGGAGGCATATGCAAGGCTTCTGGTGAAGTCGGGTCTGAGGATTCTGGATTTAGGTGTTGTTGAAGAAGATTCTCAGAAACGGCTTTTAGCTATACAGATGCTCAACTTTCTGATGAAGAATTTGAACCCCAAGAGTATCTATTCTGAGTTTGAGCTTATATATCAAGAGATGGAGAAACACCAAAAAGATGAGATCCATTATGTCAAAATGGCAGCTCATGAAACCATGAGACAAGTAGAGAGATTAATACGTGAGGCAGATCCAAAGTTTGATGCAGAGAACTGCAAGTCCCGAATCTCACTCGGCGGATCAATCAAGTCTACACCAAGTCTGCGAGCAGATGATGGGAGTTATCTAAACAATCAAGACGAGGATGATGTTTTGTTTTCTGGTGTAGCCAGTGGAAGAACTGCTGTCTCAGGCTCTCCTCTGGTAAATTACGGAGACAGTAACCAAGACACTGGTTATGTAATCGAGAGTCCAAGAATTGGAAATCAGGTAAAAAAAAAACCACTGTAAAGCTGTCTCTTGTGCGCCCTTTTCAGTGAAGTTTCATTGTTCTGCTTTTTCTTTTTTATATTTCAGATGCAGTCTTTTGGTTTTGAAGATGAGAACATTGAGTCAGTTTGGTTCCATCAGCGGGACAGAAGCTCTGAGTTTAATGAATCTGTGTGCTCTAGGACCAACCGCTCAAGAAGTTCAAGACGAAACACCAAGAAGAGACAATCCGGAGAACTTTGTTCAAAACATCACAGGCATGGTTTCACACAAGATCCATTCACTGAGTTACTAGATAACAGACAGCAGGTGCAACAACAGTACAGTGAAAGCCCATCATCATCATCCATATATGATACCTCTGGCACTACCACTCCAACCAACACAACAGAAGATATCTTTGAGAAACCGAAGTCAGATCTGGATTCTGAGGCCAAGCTTAAGACCGGGGAGACTGAATTAGACCCACGTATGGGTCAGAGCAAGCGTGCGTTAAAATTGGGATTTAGTGTCTTCCCTATTGCAGTTGCAGGGTTTGCTTACTTCATGTGGATGCATCTCCAGGATGATATGATGCCTCCTCATCTTGTTCCGACTTAGAGTATATGGGATGAAGATAAAAATGCTTAGAACTTAGATAGGTTCAAATTCTAGCTTAGTTCTCTTGTTCTTTTGTCAATGTGTGGATCATGTTCGAATACTAGTTTGTTTGATTCCTTTTCCTGATGGATTTGTCACTTGTCCAAAAAGACTATCAAATGTAAACCTAACTCAGCTTGGTTCTCTTGTTCTTTTGTCAATGAGTTACCTTATGGATAAGTCACCTGTCCATAAGTCGAGGCAAATCTTTTTTTTTTTTTTTTTTTTTTTGTCAAAGTTGAGGCAAATCTTAACCAAATTCACACTAGTTCAAAATAAATTAAGCCACAACCGTAACTGAGACAATCCTACGAATAATTTCACTAACCAAACATAACTAAAAAAAAACACTTAAGTTGGTGGTGTGTATACCAAGATCACAAATCTTAAGCTGAGACATACCAAAATTTTCTCAGAATTGAAAGAACAAAAGATTACAAAGAAGAGAGTTTCACTACGAGGTATTTGTTCTCCGGCTTAGTCTTCCTCTGCACCAGCACCTGCAGCGGCAGCTGCATCTCTCCTTGGCCCACCGGCTTGTTTCGCCATTATAATCTGCATATTTTACACAAAGTTTTAGTAATACTCAATGAGATCTACCAAAGGAATTGAATATTGAATCAAGGATTTGCACGAACAAGGGACTTTAAGGCGGCTTTGTTCATATAGTAATCTTGTAAGATATGCATTCAACGAACAATATCTTTTCTTTCATGTGATGAGTCAACACATTAATGATATAAAGAACAAAATGCTTTTTTCACCAAAGATTAAATCATGCAAGTTTGTGCATACCTGGTCTACACGAAGCACAGTGCATGCAGCATCTGAAGCATATTTAAGAGCAAATAACCTGCACAGAGACTTACACGTCTTAGTCATCAACTAAAGTGTATTGTCTTCTTTATAAGCAGTCAAAAAATTCTACCCCAAGTTTCTATATTCAACAACTGCTAAGCAATTATTAAGAAATCTGATAGATGGATCCCACACTTGCGTCTCAGAAAGCCACTGTGAAACTTACTTGGTTGCAAAAAGATCCCATACTTTCGTCTCTGAAACATCTTTACAAGCACCTTCCTCTAAGTCAATGCCTAGTTTTGTGTTTCCAGATCCATGTCCAGTGTACAGAGCAGCTATGATTTCCATTGCATTGAGGCCAGCATTATCTGCAAGGGTTTTGGGTACAAACTCGAAACTCTCAGCGTACTTGGTGATGGCATATTTGTCCAACCTGAAAATTCAAAGTGAAACCTAAGTTTAGTTGCCAAACCTAAGTTTAGTTGCCAAACCTAAGTTTAAAGCTAGCCTAACATGGATAAGTTCTGAAAAATACCCAAAATGATATCATCTGAAAAATTATGTAAAAGAAAATACCCTATTTCTGCATTGGCATATTCCTTCAATCTTTGAGCCAATTCTATTTCAGTAGCTGCCGCCCCGGGAACTATACGGCTGTCTCTGCACATGGCCTGAGAAGAAATATAACTAACCACAGTCAAGATATATGTATATATAATATATTTGGTACAAAGAAAACTAGACAGGGACACCAAATCTCTAACCCAGTAGATATTACCTTGTATGTATTAACTCCATCATCAACAGCTCTCTCAAGGTCGTCCAAAATGCTATCTGTGCTTCCACGCAAAACCACGGTAGAGATGGAGTTACCACCTTCCTCGTTTCTTGCAATCGTAACCTAAAGACATCACAAGAAGACCGAGAATTGTATGTGATCAATGAAACACAAAAAAAGAGTTAAAAGATAGGATTTGACTTCAGATTACTTACTGTCACACCACCAATTTCCTCAACTGATATAGAATCAACATATCCCAGATCATCAGGGCTTGGCCGGCTAAGCTTCAACTGTTTGATAATTAAAGTATTAAACGCTAGAAAAAAAACTACCCTTAGATACTCATTTAGATAGCCAATTAGAAACACTTACATGGGCAACAGCCCCAGCTGTACGACAGAAACGCCTCAGTTCAAACTTTGAGCTGATCTTCAATACCATTATCCTGCCAGGAAAAATGTGTGTAATTGAAAGGTAAGTAAAGATATGCATTATCATATGAAGCTACAACAGAACAATAGGGAATGAAAATGCAGGTAATAACAATCGTAAAAGGACACATACTTGTAACGCTCACAGAAATGCAATGCCATTTCCCCAATTGATCCTCCGCTAACAATGACTTTGGCTCCTGATTCAGCAACAGCTTTGATCAACTCCTCAACTTTAGCTTCCTCTGTTTTTGCATAGTTCTCTAACTAGAAATCCAAAATAAAAGGAGAAATTTGTGACAATTAGAATTGAAAACAAACAACCATTCTTGAGGAAGCATATATGTGATAGACGCCAGAATTGTAATTTTCACATTTTAATAAGACAGTAAAAAATCTTAGTGCAGGAGAAACTCGTATGCCTCATTCATAAAGAAGCCTCATCTTGTTCTACTTCATCACACTGAAAGCATATGGTAATGAAATAGAGATTCCAAACTTAGAAAGACTAACCTGCTCAGCACTATGAATGAGGACAGTTCCTTTGGTTTCTGTTGCATTAGTATCAACGCCACCCGCAAAAACAGCAACCTGACAAAAACATAAAAAAGATTCAGGGACGTTTAGGGGCAAAACATATTGATCAATTCAGACAGAAAAACATGGTCAAAAGTATAAACAAAAGAAAGGGATCTCACCTTTGCCTTCTCCATTCGTTTAATGATACCAACAGCATCACTTTTCAAGACCATACCACGGACTATGCAAGAATTGTGCAAGCCTCCTCCCAAAAGCTTGGCAACACGGACGTTATCCACATTGAAATTCGTTGGATTCTTTGGGCAGACTTGAATGCAAGCCTAGAAAATAAATAAACCCGTCAAGTAAAAACTATATCTGCCATAATCTCGAGAAAATAACAATCTGAACAATGAAAAGAATAGATAGCAAGAAATAATTACGTCAGCAACTAAAGAGCATATTATCTCCTCTTGCCCGAACTGCTTGCTTGCAACAGCTGCTCTCATACGGGAAATAACTTCATCCTTGTTACGTACATCCATCGTCTCAGAACCACTCTCAACCAGTTGTTCCAAAATTTCAACAGCCTGCACAGACAATAACCAACCACATTAGTCAAATACTCATACAAAAAAATTGAGAAGCACCATACAGTAATTTCAGGTATCCACCAACCTTGATGATTGCTTTGTTATATCCACTAATGATCTCACTGGGGTGAAGCCCCATCCTAATGAGCTCCTCAGCGTTTTGAAGAAGCTCACCAGCAAAAGAGATAGTCAGATTGGCTCCATCTCCAATTTCTTCTTGCTGAGCCTTAGCAGCTAAAACAAGAAGTTTGGCAGCCGGGTGTTGAATCTCCAGTTCATTCACAATAGTAGCAGCGTCACTTGTGACAAACAGTTTGTCCAAATGATTGATAACCATTTTATTCATTCCTGAAACATCATCAGAAACAAATAACTCAGTCGTAATCCGAATCTGAATCCCTAGAAAAAAACACACTTCACTCTTTACAGTGACAGATCACAAGACAGATCCTACTTAGTACACTCAAATAAAATTGAAACGACACAGAAGAAAACGAGATTCATCATTTCAGTAATAGATCAAGGCCCAATCAGCGAAACATGGCGTACCATTGGGGCCGAGAGAGGTGCGTGTAATGGTGGAGAGCTCCTTGCAAGCTCCAATGTTCTTAATAACGGCTTCGTCTAGACCCGAGAGATGCCTGTAACCTTCTTTAAGCATCGATTGGATACCATATGGCTGCATCGACATACCCACCATTTTCTCAGGTAAAGATCTATACGCTTTGAAACTTGGGTCACTCTCGAACAGGAAGAAGAGTAAAAACCCTAAAAGCGAGGAAGCTCTCTGTGTATTTTTGTTTTTTGAAGTAGTTTAGAGAGAGAGAGCTCTTCTGTGAGAGAGGCCCGAGATTACCCTAGCGCAAGGTTTTAAAACACTTCGTTTCCTCCCTTTTAGTATCTAAACGCTGTCGTTTTTTGGCTTTTACGGTGTTATGGGCCGAAGAGTGAGATCTTCTATCTTTAGGAATGAATTTATTAATTATAAGAAAACTTAGGGACGAAAAGAGAAAATTATGTGTTTGATTACACAAAATAGCATTGTGTTAATGAAAGCCATGAAAATATTATCAACAACTTTCAAGGAAATAAGAGAGCAAAGGCATGAGTTTATGTTTTATCAGATGTGCGTCTCCTTAAAAAGGAACATAAGACAATGTAAGTTTTGTTCAGATAAGCGGAGAGAACACACATAGATTAAAGATGTGTATTAGGTTTTCAGAAATCCAAACCCTGAAGAAAAACATGATTCAAAAAACTAGGTTTCTTTTAATTAAGTCATCTTCTTTCCTTGCATCGATTCCAGCTTTCAACACAAGTTAATTGTTTCCCCGGAAACTCCTTCAAGGGCCTATGTAAAAAAACCAATCATAATCAACAATGTTAGAAACTGTATCAAGAGGGTTTGTTGATGTGTTCTAACTTCTATATGCTGCAGCAGGGTTTAAAAGGACCCGTACCTGTTTCTTTTGCTTGATCTTCTTATCTCTGATGATCTTTTGCCTTGTCTCATAGAACTTGTAATCATCAAGTATACATGTCTTGCTCATGTACTCTTTGAAGATCTTTATGATCTTCGTCCCATGATCCAGATTTACCTGCACCAAAACCAACACCGTTACACTTCAAAACCCTGGCCGAAAGCCATAATCTTTCATTACGATTCAAATAAGCTTCAAGCTTTCAATCCAAACATGTCCAAACCAGAAAGGGTTTAGGGGAAGTTTAACAAACCTCTTGAGTGTCTCTACTATTAGTGACAGGCTTGTTTTCGTTATTCTCAAGTGTTATGTGTCTCAAGAGACTGTTTGGTATGTCTTTGATGATATGCCACTTCACAGGGAAACAACCAATCCATTTATCTTGTTGCCAGTATTCCATTGTCTTGTTGAAATCAACAGGGCCTACCATCTCAGCAAGACCAACAAATTGCCCACTTGCATTCACCTGCAGATAAAACCGATTACAGTGAGTTACTTAATGCAAATCTAAAAGGACACTGCAGGAGCCGTGAAGTAACCTCATACTGACCGAGAACAGAAGATACACAGGACATTCTTGAGAGTTCTCTTTGGCTTCATAATATGCAGCATTCAACTTCTTGTTGCCAGTTGGCGTGCTCGACCACGCACCATACTTTATACTGTTATGAACATCATCTTCGCTGTATGACTTAATCACAAAGAATTTAGCTTTCACGAATGTTTCAGGGAAACTCTCCCCGTTGTAGCGCTGGAGATCAACCGCTGAAACGTCTTGCTTCATTGCCTCTAACATTGCAGTGTTAAGAACTTGAGGATTCTTGAAATCACTACTCCTTGGTCCTCGACAAAGCTCATTAAGCCTATCTGCTTTCTCATCACTATAACCACGCCCATGATTGAAGCTTCTGGTCTTTCTATAACCATCAACAGGATACCATCCTCGCCCAAGTTTCCAGGAATCATAACCAAAAGTTCCATATGCATGACCAGAGTCAATTACATTCCCGTAAAGTCCATACAATCCATGGTTGGAATACAAAGGATCATTATATCCAAATTGGTCAAAACTTGGTGCTTCGTGTGAGTTGTGTGGATTCTGTAAGTAAAAAGGATGTAGCCAATTATTAGACAAATAATCCCAAGTCCCAGCAGAGATGACGCAGAGTACAAAATACACATTCGCTTAAGTATATGAAGATAGATAAGTGGCAGTAAGGTCATGTGACATAACCAACATACCATGAGATGCGAAAAGGAAGAGTGATTGCTGCTGCGGTCATAACCAAACCTCGGATCAGGGTAGCCACCAGAAGGATAGTTTGATGGAAAGTAACCCCACGGGTATGAACCAATTGAGTCTCCACCATTTAGCTGATTGCCAACATTCATATTTGGCCTTCGTTCACTTCCGTAAGAAGATGCACCATACGGTATGTGACCATACTGGTGCTGAAAAGAACCCTTCTCACAAAACACAGCCAGTTAACCAAAAAAGGTCACGCAAGATAACAATTGTTACATCAAAAAAGCAGCAAGACCTCTCCACAGAACAATTTGCAGTTAAAGAACATTTAGCAAAACACAATTTAAGTTCCAAAACTTTTGATTTAAAACGGAAGTAGCAATTAAGTACCTTATTACGGTTCCTAGGGACTTCATTTGCATCTGAACCTAAAGACAAATCCTGAAACAAGTCTGCTGTTTCTGCACCGATTACAAAACAAGAGCCGAGTTAGTATTTCTAATAACAAAGGCTCAAACTCCAATCGCATACTCCCCACAAGACAAATACTGGTGAAATTCAACCCATAAGCAGAAAAGAAACCAACTTGTTAAAAAAACATAACCTTATCTATTTGCTCTCTACAGACACCAATCAATCCGAAATAGACAACCTACGACAGATACTGACCACACTAGTCCCTAAACCCTAAACCCAAGTGTACAAATCAATCGCAAATTCTACGATGAGCACAAAATGCGAACTTGCGAATGCTAAAAGAAAAAAGCTCATCTATGGGACAAAAGGAACATACCCAGAAGAGGGAAGCTAGAAACGAGACGATCAGAAGAAGCGGCTCCAGACATGTCGAGAGAAGGCGAAAAAAGCTTGGGAAACCCTAGAAAACGTCACAGAGAAGGTTGGGCAAATGAAAGCAAAACGCAACCTCGAAAAACCCAGAGCGAGAGAGAGAGAAGGGAGGGGGTTTATAGAAAGTTCCGTTCTTTTTTTTTGTTTTCTTCGTTCTTCCCCTTTAACGTAAGGCGGTGTGATCTTTAGCAAAGAACACAAATGGCCCCAAATGGGTAAAATTAACGAGGAATTCTAAGCGACAAAAATCAAATTTTCTTTTCCTTTTTTCTTTTTGTTTTTGCTCCTTTAACCCAAAAAGATAAGGCTCTTCTTCTTAATGACCATTTTTATCACACGAGAAGATTCTGAAAAATTGACGTTGATTGCTTTTATTATTAGAGACTTTTTCAAAAAAAATTAAAATCAAAAGAGCAAAGCACTAAAGCTTATGATGAAACAAGAAAACTTACTAATGTCCCTCACATGTTTACTTAAATTCGATTCTATAATTACTCTTGCTTAAGAGCAAATATCTTAAATTCCACTTGTTAAGGATGTACTATTAATCTTGGGGATGATTGTAAATTGTAACATACAAAAAAAACACATGAGTTTTGTGTTTTCAACTCAACTTTTACAAATTGAAGGACAAAAACTATATATGTAAAAATGATGGACCGCAAGTTTTGTGATTCTTTGGGTTGGCCTAAGGGCCAAATGCAGTATATGTCTACTGGTGTCATGTCCCGTTTACACAATGAAAAAGGGGGGGATGCTTCATAAACGAATCTTAGATGGCTAAACAAATGATTCCCAAGTGGATATGAACCTTATGTTCGGCGGCATCAACCCATACTTCTGCTCCTCACTCACCTAAAAAAAAAAACAGAATGTTTTCTATAATTTTAAACGAGTGATGAATATCTTTCATTTTATGTGGGTTGTTCTTAGATAACTGAGTACAACAAGCTAGTAGTAGTAGTGTATGATCATCATGCAAAGAAAATCTTAAGACTGATTTGTGGGGTTTCTTTTCTAGTGTTGTGGTCGCACATTCAACAGTAAACAAACATATGGTATAACAACAAAACAGTAGCTACACAAATTCAAACAATTTGATTGGAAACACATTTACGAAATTATATAACTCAAAAGTCTTTTTAGCGTTTGGTTTAGAGAAACATATATAACTATACAAGTTCTTTTACCCTTTTTCCTCGTGATGGATTTTCTAATTTTTGATTGTAAATACTAATAAATTTATTTATGGCAAACATCACATGGAGTTGCACAAAATTGATGAATATGTTTATCCTTTGTCTCGTAGGGTTCATTCAATGGGTTGTATGAGAGGCGGTGAGGAAGACACACAAAACACAACACAACATCATCATCCTCGAGAGTCCAGAAAAGTTCAAAAACATTCCCCAACAACTTAATTCAACATTGCATCATTTAATTCGTGTTACATGCACCACTTTTTTTTTTTTTTTTTAATTACTGAAGATAAACAATTATTTTTACCTTATAATTTTATTTAGAAATATAAATATTGCCAAACAATTTGGAAATTGATTGCTTGCAAACAAAAACACTTAAATCTTACGGAATATGTCAACCAATCTATAAAACACACAAAATATTCATTGACTTGTAATACACAATGCATTATGATTATGAGTATAGCGTGATGTGTTTCATTGGTCTCCATGAATTAGTGGATCATGTGACATACGAGTTTTTGTAGACATGTTATAAAGCTTCTAAAATAGTCAAGTAAGTGAAATAAACTCTAATTGTTTGTAACACTATTGTTTTAATTTTTTTTTTATTTTTTTTTTAAGAAGATGCACGCGAGGAACCCAAAGCGGCAACATAGCGACAGCCAATGAAACTGCACCACCCCACACCATTAGCCATTAGGCATCAGCTAATTAACTTAGGGATGAACAGAGAGACCCAACCCAAAAAAAACAAAAAAAAATAACGTTGCAAAATATATATATATATATATATATTTTTAAATCAAGGAAAAACAAATTAGGTAAAAGTTTACAAAATATTATTATTACAATGAAAAAATATATATTGGAAAAACTCAAAAAAGTGAATCAATCCTTCTCCCAAGAAAAAAAAACTTAACTTTTATTTTTATTTTTATTTTGCTAAACTCAAAAAATCTCTTTACAAAAATTTGCACCTCTTCTTCATCGTCTCATCTTCATCTTCTTCTTCTTCTTCATTATTAACCCTAAATCTAGCCGCAACTACCTCTCTCTCTACTTTTCTTTCTCTCCTTCTCTGCTCCACAGCTCCAAAGCTTTTTTTTTTTTCTTCTTTCTTCACATTCAAATCGTCACAGCATAAAGCTAATCGGTTTCTCATTTTTTTTTTTGGGAACTTGAGGAGAGATCTGAAAGTTTTTGTTTTGGATCGATCCTGTTCCACTCTCTTCATCCTCCGATCATCGTTTATTTTTTAGAAGTTTGTTTCAATCAATCGATCTTCGGGTAAACAGTCTCTTAACATCTCGATTCGATTTCCGCTGTGGTTGTTGTTGTTGAGCTGAAACTTTTCTTGCTACATTTTCTTATGACTTTGCGAAAGATCGTGATTTTGGTAGATGATTGAACATATTTCATTGAACTGACGATTGTTTCTACACTTCAGAACTTTTTTTGTGAATCTATGTTACTTTTTGCTTTCGATTTGTATAGATGTCTGTGAAATATGAAAATCAAGAGAAGCTTGTGTTGATTGATCTATGGGGTAGTAAATTTTGCTGTTGATTTTTGTTTGTCTACTTGGGGCTGTTATTTTTCATCATCAGCTCTTTGTTATGGCGTTCACACTAGGAAGCTTAGATTATTGATGAATATGAGCCAACTTCATCGACAAGTTCTAATTTTGGCTACAAATGCTTTTGTTTTGTTGACTATTCGGTTTGATTGAATTATGCAACGCCATAAAGAATCTGTTTTCTAGAAAAAGGAATGCTCGTAGTCTAAGCCATGGTTTCTTATATTGTATCACATTGCAATGACTTGCTTTCTCTATTGATTCCTTTTAAGCACTTTCCTGAATAAGAATCTGTTTTGATCCCATTATTGTTCTCTTATTTGTTGGTTAAATATATCTCCTTGGAGAAGGAATGCCGCAAAACTCTTTACCTCCACCTTTTACTTGTGAAATATAGCTCCAAATAAATGTTATTTTCATAACCTTACACGCTACTACAATTTTTTTTAATGCCACAGGTAATACAAAGAGGCGACTGAGAGAATTATTTTTTTTGACATTTTGTATGGAGTAAGAATGCCAGAGTTAAGAAGTGGAGCAAGGAGATCGAGACGTCTTGACGAGCAGCCTAACCCTCAACTAGTTGAACAAGCAGAAGTTATCGTATCTCCTCCTCCGACTGGAACAAGGAGAAGAGGTGGTGGTAGAGGAAGGGGGAATGCTGCTTTAGCTAAAGGGGCGGCACCTCCAAGACCAACTGCTGCCGGTAGAGGCAGGGGTATCAGGTTGACAGACTTAGAGCCAGAACCTTGTGAGGTTCGTCCAGCTGCAGGTGCTTTAGGGGCCACTGAACCTGCCATAAACCGAGTTGACGGGGTAGCTGATAAGGATCTTGCTGCGGAAGGAGGTAGCGCAGAGAAAATAGTAGGAATGGAAGAAGATTCTAGCATGGGTCCAGTCCCTGAAAGGGTAATTCCTGTCAACCTTATGATATTAGTCACCGGTTTTCTGCTAGGTTACATCTTTGCAAAACTCTAGGGTTAGATCAAAGAAGGTGCTCCGTTTTTAAGCTCAACATATTCTTCTTTCGTCTCAATCATCATCTTGGAACTCTTAGATCTTTTGCTAATATGTAGCTTACGAGCCATGCTAATGGGTTTAATCATTGTCTCAACTTTTAATTTTCCTTTGAGAGAGATATTCACCATAATTTCATTGTATAGGTACAAGTTGGAAATTCTCCTGTTTATAAGACTGAGAGGAAACTCGGCAAGGGTGGATTTGGTCAAGTTTATGTTGGCAGAAGGGTGAGTGGTGGCAGTGATAGGATTGGAGCAGATGCGATTGAGGTATTTTTAACAAAGCGTGGTGAAATTCATGGAGTTTAATTCCAAAGGAGTGAACAAATTAAAAACGTTAATTCTTTTCCTTTTCAGGTGGCTCTTAAACTTGAACACCGAAATAGTAAAGGCTGTAATTTTGGCCCACCTTACGAGTGGCAAGTGTACAAGTAAGACTTGCCTGCTTCCTTTCACAGTTTCATGCCCAGTTTCTCCTTCTCCTTAAGTGTCACTACCAATACATTCTGTTTTCTTTTTCTGATTTAAAGTACACTCAGTAGCTGTTATGGAATTCCTGCTGTACATCACAAGGGTCGTCAAGGAGATTTTTACATCCTGGTAAGCTTTTCGACAAGCGTGGTTACACATCGAGATTAATGAGGTGATGTTGATATATAAACATTTTAATTATTTCAGGTCATGGACATGCTTGGCCCTAGCCTCTGGGATGTTTGGAATTCCTTGGCTCAATCGTAAGCACTTTCATCGTGCTTTACTTTTGAAATCAACCATGCTTATGCAATATGTTAAATTTATTGTCATACTGTAGGATGTCTCCAAACATGGTAGCGTGCATTGCAGTGGAGGCGATATCTATTCTTGAGAAACTGCATCTGAAGGGGTTAGTGCTAATTTTTGTAGTTACCAACTTCCCAACGAATTGTATTTGCTATCAGTGAGCTGACATTCATTTCATGTTCAATCCCTACATCCAATAAGGTTTGTGCATGGAGATGTGAAACCAGAAAACTTTTTACTTGGTCAGCCTGGAACAGCAGACGAGAAGAAACTCTATCTTATTGATCTTGGTCTAGGTGAGTTTCTGTAATATGCTTACAAACAACCTGACGCATTGTTTTCTTCTGATATTTTTATCTCTCTTTTGTCTCGAGAAAGTTTTTGAAATATTTGTAATTATTTTTATAAATGTTAACATGTATTCTCATTTGATTTAGCATCAAGATGGAAAGATTCGCACTCTGGCCAGCATGTTGAATATGATCAAAGACCAGATGTATTCAGGTATAATAATTGGTGTATGTTATCTTTCCTACTTTTCTTTTGTATACATATGTATTTACATCTTTAATATGCTTCATATGCAGGGGAACGATAAGGTATGCAAGTTGTCATGCACATCTTGGTCGTACTGGAAGTCGGAGGGATGATCTTGAGTCATTGGCTTATACATTAATATTTCTAATGCGGGGAAGGTTGCCATGGCAAGGGTTCCAGGTGAGTTTCTTATCTCTCTATTCACAACCTAACGAATTGTAAGTCTTAGTTCTAGTCAATGATTTATGGTTTTTGTACGCAGGGTGACAACAAGAGCTTTCTTGTTTGCAAGAAAAAGATGTCAACCTCTCCTGAATTGATGTGCTGTTTTTGTCCACCCCCTTTTAAGCTGTTCCTCGAGGCAGTTACTAATATGAAGTTTGATGAGGAGCCCAATTATGCCAAGCTTATCTCGATTTTTGATACTCTAATCGAGCCATGTGCTATATCTAGACCAATAAGAATTGATGGGGCTCTTAAGGTGATTTTCTTTGGTTGCTGTGTTTTTTAATTTCTTCATTATGTATAAATATATAGCAACAAGTGTTGATATTTTTCTGTTGCGTGAATAGGTTGGTCAAAAGCGAGGAAGATTGCTTATCAATTTGGAAGAGGATGAACAGCCAAGGAAGAAAATTAGAATCGGCAGTCCTGCTACCCAGTGGATTTCAGTGTATAATGCACGCCGTCCTATGAAACAGAGGTAATTCTTACACATTTTCATGTTTTGCTCACCTTCTTTTTGGGTGATAAAAGTGTGAAAACCTTCATTAATCAAATTCCTTTTTCTTGCTGACCAGCCTCCTCGTCAGTCTTAGCAAAACATATTGTCTTGTCTAATGCTTTGCATTTATTATGGCTTTAGTTATTTCCTATTTGGGAAAGATACATAAGGTGGGATGGGAAAAGATACTGACTTAAATAATATTAGTAGAAATATTCGTTTTTTTGGTGCATTATATTTCTTTGCGTAACAGGTCAAATCTCTGTTGCTTTTGTAGGTATCATTACAACGTTGCAGACTCAAGACTGCACCAGCATGTAGAGAAAGGTAACGAGGATGGCCTTTTCATAAGCTGTGTAGCATCAGCAGCTAATCTCTGGGCCATCATCATGGATGCTGGTACTGGGTTCAGTTCTCAAGTATATGAATTGTCCTCAGTCTTCCTGCACAAGGTGAAACATCTGAAGCATTAGGATCCATCTATCTGTTAAACCTATGTTGACTATAGCAGCTCACCATTTGTTTCTGGATTCTTTGCAGGACTGGATTATGGAACAATGGGAAAAGAACTACTATATCAGTTCTATAGCGGGTGCAAATAATGGGAGCTCATTGGTTGTTATGGCAAAAGGTTGGTATTTAGAATTGATGATAACTATGCCGGTGTCTTATTGATTCATAAAAGCATGAAAAGCTGTTTTACTTGTTCCAATTCATGTAATATGATAGGAACTCCTTATACCCAGCAATCTTACAAAGTCAGCGACTCATTTCCATTCAAGTGGATAAATAAAAAGTGGAAAGAAGGTTTTCATGTAACTTCGATGACCACCGCTGGGAGTCGTTGGGGTGTAGTAATGTCCAGGAACTCAGGCTACTCTGAACAGGTTCCCATCTCTTTACCTGAGGCATTTCGATGCTTCTTTGTTTCCTTTTTGGGCAATATGATGGATTAATGCTGTCTATGTGGTGTATATGAATAGGTGGTGGAGCTTGACTTTTTGTACCCTAGTGAAGGAATACATAGAAGGTGGGAAAGTGGATACAGGATAACATCAATGGCTGCAACAGCTGATCAAGCAGCTCTTATATTGAGTATACCTAAACGTAAAATAACTGATGAAACGCAAGAGACTCTCCGAACTTCTGCCTTCCCTAGTACCCATGTCAAGGTGTGTTCTTAATCTTCGGAAACAAATGAATTATGTATTAAATTTGGGATTATTCTCCATTTGTTCTATTTAAACTGATCTCGACCTTTATTTTTTATTTCAGGAGAAATGGGCAAAAAATCTGTACATTGCATCAATATGCTATGGTCGGACAGTTTGCTGATAAAACATGGAGTATACTGTTTCAACCTCTCTCACCCTCGCTCTAGGTTTCAGGGATGATCTTCTCTAGAAGCCTAACAACGTGTAGCTTCGGTTTCTAAAGGTAAACCTTAACCAGGAGCCAACTTGTGTGACTGTAATGAAATGAAATTTGTCTCTATGTATGTAGTAAGTACAAGATAAAAGGAAAAAAAAAACAAAAACAAAAAATGAGTAGAAGAGAAGCATTTATTAGTAGAATTGATGAAGGCTGGAAAAAGATTATGCAGTTTCTGGCTTATTGCTTTATACCTGATTTGAGTTACAGAATCAGGAGGGGGCAAGATGTTTGTTCTAATGAACATATCTAAGAAGCCTTTCATCTCAATCCTTTTACTCCCAAGTTTGGATTTTAAACCCAAATATGTAGATTTTTGTAAAAATTGGTTTGCCATTGCTTCAAATGTTATTTGTTAGATCTTATAGAAAATAACATTTCAAAATTGTTAAGATCGGATAACAATTTTTAAGAAAAGTCAGATATTTCAAAACATCGTTGTCGATTATTAGTCTTGAATAAACAAGCAACACTGAATCTCCTAGTCAATTACATTTTATAAACAACTGTGGAGTCAACATGATGAAATTTCAACTTTTTTTCTATGTGAATGCAAGATCTTAAAAGTCAACCATTATTATATTTAGTGCCTTCAAAAAGACTACACATCACAATCATTGACAATGAAGACAAACATTGTTCGGATGTTAGTCGTTTAGCAATAATCTCTTCTGCGACTTGTTTGTAAATATGAAACAGAAGAACCTGTGAGTGGCAAAAGACAATAGCTCTGAGAAAAAATGCTGAATCTATGTCTTCTCTCTTTCTTCCTCGTGTTCTTAGTCTTCTTCATTCCGCAAATATCTTTCTCTTGTCCACAAGACCAACTACAATCCCTTCTTGAGTTCAAGAACTTGCTGACTCAGAACATCAAGAACCACTCTACAGAACCAAGCACCCTGGAAGGTTTAGAGACATGGAGGCCAAACTCAGATTGCTGCAAATGGCAGCTCGTCAGATGCAACAGTCGTTCCCCTACCAGAGAAGTGATAGACCTGAACCTGCACTCTCTTGTCCTCTCTGGCTCAGTGAGTTCAAGCATTCTGAGACCAGTTCTGCGTATAAGCTCTCTTGTGACGCTCGATCTCTCATCTAATTTCATACAAGGAGAGATTCCTGGAGATGGGTTTGTGAATTTGACTAGGTTCATCTCTCTTGACATGAGTGATAACAACTTTAACGGTTCTATCCCTCCTGAGTTATTCTCCTTGAAGACTCTTCAGCGCCTTGACTTAAGCAGTAATGTTATTGGTGGTACGTTGAGTGGTGACATAAAAAATCTCAAGAACCTGCAGGAACTGATCTTGTATGAGAATTTCCTTGAGGGAGAGATTCCTCCAGAAATAGGTAAGTCAGAAAACAATCTCAAAATTTAAACTTTGTGTTCATCTATGAAAATCATAGATATGGGTTATAAATGTTACTGACTTTATTTTATATTGTGTGTGTGGGTTACAAGGTAGTCTTCCTGAACTGCGGACGCTGACACTGAGGCAGAACATGTTCAATGGTTCTATCCCATTGTCTGTGTCAGAGTTGAGGAAGCTCGAAACGTTGGATCTCCAGAACAACTCTTTGTCTTTTGAGATTCCCAACGGTATTGGGAAGTTAGTCAATCTATCAACTCTGTCTTTGAGCATGAACAAGTTGTCTGGTGGAATTCCATCGTCGATTCAGAATCTGGAACATCTTGAAACCCTTGAACTTGAGAATAACAATGGCTTGTCAGGTGAGATTCCCTTTTGGCTGTTTAGTCTTCATAAGCTGAAGATATTGCGGCTAGGAGGAAACAATCTCCAATGGAACAAGAATGGCTCTGTCTATGCACAGTCTAAGTTAACACATCTGTCACTTAAGTCTTGTGGTTTAGAAGGAAAAATTCCGGATTGGCTCAAGAATCAAACATCTCTTCTTTTCCTGGATCTGAGCAGGAACAGACTCGAAGGAAGCTTCCCCAAATGGTTGGCTGATCTGGATATCGGAACCATAATTTTGTCTGACAACAAACTCTCAGGCTCATTGCCTCCTAGTTTGTTTCAGTCTATGAGTTTATCGGTTCTTGCGATATCAAGAAACAACTTTTCTGGTCAGATTCCTGATACGGTAGGTGAAACATCGGCCATGATACTGATGCTGTCTGAAAACAACTTCTCAGGATCAGTACCGAAGTCTATTTCAAAGATCCATAGGCTGCTGTTGCTGGACTTGTCAAAGAACAGATTATCAGGTGAATTCCCAAGGTTCGGTCCCGAATCAATGCTTGCATTACTCGATATATCCTCCAACGAGTTCTCTGGGGAGGTTCCAGCTTTCTTTGGATCAAACACCATAGTGCTTTCAATGAGTCAGAACAACTTCAGCGGGGAATTCCCTCCGGACTTTACTAATCTCCCACTTCTGATGCATCTTGATCTTCATGACAACAAAATCTCAGGTAACGTCCCGAGAATAATCTCGCGGCTGTCTTCTTCTCTAGAGGTACTTAGCCTGAGAAACAATTCCCTGGAAGGTTCAATCCCAGAAGGCATATCAAACCTCACAAGTCTCAAGGTCTTGGATCTCTCAGAGAACAATCTTGATGGATCTCTCCCTTCATCTCTTGGGAATCTCACAGGCATGAGAGAATCTCTCCCAAGCTCGTCTTCTCCTTTGCCTTTCATGTTCAGCTTCACTATCGAAATACACGACTTAGCAGTGAACTGGAAGAATTCAAAGCAAGGTCTTGCCAACAGAAACCTCTACCTCTACACTCTCATAGACCTCTCCAAGAACAAGCTACTCGGAGAAATCCCAACTTCTTTTGGCAATCTCAAAAGCTTAAAGCTTCTAAACCTCTCTTACAACGACATCTCTGGATCGATCCCACAAAGTCTTGGAAATCTTGAGAAGGTAGAGATCTTAGACCTTTCACACAACAATCTCTCTGGCGAAATCCCGCAGACACTTTCCAAGCTCATCGAGCTGAATGTTTTGGAGTTGAGCAACAACAAGCTGACAGGCAGAATCCCTGAGAGCCCTCAGCTAGACAGATTGAACGATCCGAACATTTACGCGAACAACAACAAACTCTGTGGAGTACAAATCCAAGTACCATGTTCTACGCCGATCCAGCAGCCAAAGGAGAAAGATGAAGAGGAAGATGAAACGATGTTTTCATGGAAAGCTGCAGTCATAGGTTGTCCTTGTGGGTTTATTATGGCAGTTGTCGTAATGTATGTGGTTGGCTATTTCAGTGGTTCACCACCACCACCACCAAGGCGATCTCTCAAGAACAGAGGACTGAAGAAATCTATATCTTTGTTTTCTTAAAACGAAGTGGAAGATTATTATTACATATTCTGATAATGTAACATGCAAAAAGATAAACCGGTTTATTTAAATGTTAAGATTTAAGACAAATCCCCGGTTCAATAAACCGAATCTGATCGAACGGTTAAGCCGTACATTGATACCCATCCTTATACGCAATCAAAGCCCTAAAAAATATTTCTCAACCAGAGAGGTGAAAACGCAGCCTTTGAGGAATCATAAGAGACGTAGAACAAGATGAGACCACCGATGAGGAGCGGAAGAACAGGTGGCGACGGACGTGATGTACGCCCTGAGAAAAAGTACGTAATTCTTGGATGAAGATCATGAGTATTTAGGTTAACACGATACGTAATTCTTAGATGATCATGAGTATTTAGGTTAACACGATATTCAAGCCTTTCTAAGGTTTTTTATATATGCTTTGAAATACGCAGAGAGAAAGAGAAAGACCCAACAAGTAGACTTTGCTCGGGTTTGAGTGATTTACAAATCGGCACTAATCCTTCGTTCCAATGGATTTCAGTCTATGATCAACGCCCTCCAATGAAACAGAGGTTTGAGTAAATCTTAATATCTCTGCTCCATCACTATTTTCCTTGTGTTTCACGGATTGAAAAAAAAGCGTTGGTATCTCTTGTAGATATCAGAGCAACATTAAGAATTCAAGGTTGCGCCATCATGTAGAGAGAGCTCACAAGGATGGCCTTTTCATAAGCTCTGTAGCATCACCAGCTAATGATCTATGGTCTTTCATCGTGGATGATGGGACTGGTTTCACTTCTCAAGTTTATGATATTTCCTCATTCTTCCTCCCCAAGGTTTCTATCTCTCCATTACCCATATGGGCTATGGCCATGTATGCTATGTATATAGCAGCTCACTATTTTTATGGGTTCTTTACAGGACTGGATTATGAAACAATGGGAGGATAAATACTATATCAGTTGCATAGCTGGTGCAAATAATGGGAGATCATTGGTCATTATGTCAAAAGGTAGATAGGTTTGTATTTGTCTTACTTATATACTGAATTCATACCCAGCAATCTATAGGAACTTAAACTCAACTTCATGTCTAATGCTATAGGAACTTCTTACACCCAGCAATCATACAAAGTCAAGCACTCAATTCCCTTGAAGTGGATAGATAAGAAGTGGAAAGAAGGTTTTCATGTAACTTCCATGGCCACTTCTGGGAGTCGTTGGGCTGTAGTAATGTCAAGGAACTCTGGCTATTCTAAACAGGTTCCAGTCTCGCTCTTGACCCCGATTTGTTTTGTTTCCCTTCTTTATCAGCAGCAGTACTTTAACTGATGATGTTTATTTATATAGGTGTTGGAGCTTGACTTTTTGAAACCAAGTGAAGATATGAATCGAAGGAGGGAGCGTGGATACAAGATAACATCAATGGCTGCAACAGCTGACCAAGCAGCTCTTATATTGAGTTTACCTAGACGTGAAACAACCGCTGAAATCCAAGAGACTCTGCGCACTTCCGCCTTCCCAAGCTCCTATATCAAGGTGTGTGTGTCCCTATAACAAAAGGAGCATGCATGTTGGAATTAAAATTTTATGATTCTTCTCCTTTTTATTGTTTCTATGTACTGACTTTTGGATCTGAAATTTTGCTTTCAGGACAAATGGGGGAAGAGAATGTACATTACATCAGTATGCTATGGTCGGAAAGTGGAGTAGCTAGCATTCTTGTATGTGGTTAGCTGGCTATTTCAGCTATGTATACAATTCGTAAAAAACAAAGTGGTCACCTAGTTTATGAAGTGAGTTCATGAAGAGAAACAGGTAAATCTTTACTAGTTTACAGTGGGAAAGCAAAAAAGAATCAGGATGATGATGTTAGACACCTCTCTTTGTTTTTCCCAAAACCTTGTCCGCAAAAGTCATCTCTGTTTCTTTCTCGTACTATGATGAGTGTTGCAAGCTCTATCTACTTCCTCATAATCTTACAACAAGTTGATGTCAAGTGGAAAGTTCAAGCTCCGGCGGGAATGAATGCAAGAGTAGACAACAAAGAGCACACTAGACATCATTATCCAACATAGAGATCCATATCAGTGTTCTACAATGGACTTGTTTCTTATTGGGCTAAAATAATTGTATTTGAGGCCCATTGTGTTTTAAGATAATCAAGAAGACTGAGGACAAGTTCGAGCTCAGGGGGAAAGATCTGATTTGGCATGGGATGTGCTTTTGGATTTTGAAGGAGCTGCAAGAGAAAAGCTTCGAGCAAAGGCAAAAGTGTGGATCTCTGATTTGGCGGCGTTTGGTTCAAAATTCTAATGATCTTAAAAGCTTTGTCGAGTGGTCAGATTATAACTGAAGTACTATATTAAGGACTTGCCTTTGCGTTTGTTCTGTGTGTCTGTTTGTTGATCTCTAACTCAAATAGTCAACAAATGCCGATATTGAGTTGATTTACTCATGGTTTATGAAATACTGTATATATATTATTAAATCACTTGTAGTTAGTGAAGTGGGACTGTGTGTATATTTGATTTATACATTTGGCATCGTTATTATTTTTTCAACGGTCAGAGATGAACGGGTTTGGTTTAATTTAGATTGATTTCCGGTTAAATTAACCAAACCCGGTCGTACGACTACAGAAAACCCTAAATACGCACAGCCTTCAACCCATTTGGGAGTCGTCACTCTCGATTAAACCCTAAAACCCTCCACTGAAGAGGCAGAGAGCAAACAAACGCAGTCTTTGCGAAAATTTAAGAAAGGAGAAAAAATGAGACCACCGATGCGCGGCGGAGGAGGTTTCAGGGGCAGGGGAGGACGTGACGGAGGCGGTAGATTCGGTGGAGGAGGAGGACGCTTTGGTGGTGGAGGAGGACGCTTTGGTGGTGGAGGCGGTCGCTTTGGTGGTCAGAGTAACGAAGGTCCTCCTGCGGAAGTCGTGGGTTCGTTTCTATACTTGACTTAGCTTTTACTTCGTTATTGGTTTTTGTTTTTGAATGTGTAGCAGAAATGTACAAGAGCAAATGTTCAATGTTTTATCAGTGTTTTCTCATTGATGGAGTCGTATCATGCTTCTTTGTTTCTCTTAAGCTAGTCTCGTTGGATTTCATGTAGAGAAAACACTCCACTAAGCTTCTTTAGAAGTTTGATGCTTTTGACGGATTTGGGTGTTGTATCATTTACCGTTTGTTTCAGCTTTGCGTTGAGTATATGGTTCTAATGGAAAGTGATATATATGCTTGTGAAGACATTTCGTCTTGATTCGTTTGTGATGAGGTTGAGTTCTTTGGTTTCAGAGGTTGCAACTTTCGTTCATGCTTGCGAGGGAGATGCTGTGACTAAACTCTCACATGAGAAGATTCCTTATTTCAATGCTCCAATCTACCTAGAGAACAAGACTCAGATTGGTAAAGTGGATGAAATCTTCGGGCCTATTAATGAATCTGTAAGTTCTTTGTTTCTGTTGTCTTCTTCTTCCGGTCATAAGCACACAAGAAGATTCAGACATTAATTCTGGTTTGTTTCTTCTGCAGTTGTTTTCTATCAAAATGATGGAAGGTATTGTAGCCACCTCGTATTCCCCTGGAGATAAGTTCTTCATCGACCCTTACAAGCTTTTGCCTCTCTCTCGATTCCTTCCTCAGCCAAAGTAAGTCCCACCTCTAAACACTTTGGTTAAAATATAGACAAGATAGCTTTTTTCCTCTGAACTACCAAGACTAAAGATACACTATTAGTTTTGAAAGTTGTTAATTGTAGCAAACTCCATTTAACGGTATGTCTTCCAGGGGTCAGCCAGGAAGTGGACGTGGAGGTCGTGGAAGAGGTGATGGCGGGAGAGGTAGCTTCCGTGGTAGAGGTGCTCCAAGAGGTAGAGGCCCTCCAAGAGGTAGAGGATTTCCATCACGAGGGGGTTCTCGTGGAGGCTTTAGAGGCAGAGGACGAGGATAGATTCTTCTCCTACTTGACTAGCTTTATCCAAACTTGTGTACCCTTTGTTTTATTAATGACTGTCGTTTTCCCAGATTCTCAATTTTCAAGACTTTGTTTTAATCTATGGCTTAAAAAATATTAAAATTGCAGTGATTATCTCCTCTTGATAGACATTTAGAAAAAGGTTACACTGTCATTAGCACTTGCTTTTTTATTACTCTAAAAAATAGATTCAAATCACAAAGCAAGTCAACAATATAGAGTGATTGTCTTAACGAATTCTTGTTCTTGAGCTTCCATGGGGATTTATCAAGAACCCCAGCCTCTGATAATGGTAGCTTGAGCGACACGGTTGATACCAAGGGTGAAAGCTCCCATACGGAGATCACATGAGTGAGTCGCACACATCTCTTTCAAGTCTTTGAATCCTCGAGTCATGTATGTCTTAAGCTCTTTGTTCACCTTTTCTTCATCCCACATGAATCCTTGTATATTCTTCACACATATTTTACGAATCAGGTTTTTGGATCAACTGACTTTACATTCGGTTAAGGTCATATATATTCTTGATTAGAGTCTTACCTGAACCCACTCGAAGTAACTTACAGTGACTCCTCCTGAGTTAGCGTATATATCTGGGAGGATTACAACACCTTTCCTCCTCAAGATCTGCAAGAGACAGTTGATACTGAGTCTTTCATGATGAGTCTATGAAGAAGAAAGAGCAAAAACAAAGAATCAGATTTTCTAACCTCGTCAGCCTCAGGGTCAGTTGGGTGATTAGCACCTTCAATGATAAATTTCGCTTTGATTTCGTTTGCATTTTCCCTAAAAACAGATCAAAGTCAGAGTTTCATAAGAAAGTCCATGAAAGAGAGAAGATTAATTTAAGACACAAGAAACTTTAAAGACCTGTTGATGACACCGCCTAGAGCTGCAGGGACAAGAATATCACAATCTTCGACAAGAATAGAATCAGTATCAATCGAATCAGCACCATCAAACCCTTTGATTCCTCTGTTTTCTTCGACATGCTCAAGCAAACCCAAAATATCGATTCCGTTCTTGTTCTTGATTGCTCCTGTGACATCGCTCACCGCCACAATCTTACCACCTTTTTCACTTATCAACTTCGCCGCCCAAGAACCAACATTTCCAAAACCCTAAGAGACAGAGATAGTATGAGTGCCTTCTCACGCAAGTAACATCTTTAAGTAAACAATTTTTGTACTTTTTATACCTGGATGGCGAATCGCTGTCCAGATATGCTCATTCCATGTTCATTGAGCAAAGCTTCTGTCGCAAATAATACTCCTCTTCCTGTCGCAGCATCTCTCCCAAGAGATCCACCAAGATCCTGCTCAAAAATCAAATCTCACTCAGTTTTAGATTGGTTGAACACATAAACCGAACAAACCGCAATAAGAACGGTCACTTACAATGGGTTTTCCGGTCACAACAGCAGGCGAGTGTCCGTGAAATTTTGAGTATTCATCAAGCATCCAAGCCATTGTCTGAAAATTTCCATCAGTATGTTTCAGACAAAAACAAAACATAAGAACTCCCAACTGAAGTACAAAATAAAGAAATCGTATTGGAAACCTGAGGACCGGTTCCCATATCAGGAGCTGGAACATCGGTATGAATGCCTATGAGATCGTGGATCTTCTGAGTGAAAACACGAGTCAAACGTTCGAGCTCTGAGATGCTTAGCTCGCTCGGGTCACAGCCTATTCCTCCTTTGGCTCCTCCGTAAGGTATCTTAGCCACTGCTGTTTTCCATGTCATGAGTTGAGCCAAAGCGTTTACTTCATCCGGTTCGACCTGTCGATAACCGATTTCTGGTTTATACTTCATTCCAATATTGAATTTGGTTTGGTTTGATGACCAAAAAAAAAAAAAAGAGAGTCCAGTAAAACAAACCTCAGGATGATATCTGATTCCACCTTTCATGGGACCTCTTGCATTGTCGTGTTGAACTCTGAATCCAACATATGATACAAGAGTTCCATCGTCTTTAGGTATGGTACACTCCACCTGCAATAATTGGTTAGTTCCGGTTTAATGATCTTGAACCGGATCTGTTTTAGATGGATGGACAGAAACAGAGGAAATGATCGAAACCTTGATCTCTCTGAAGGGAATGAGAAGACTTTTCTCGAGCTTAGAGTCTAAACCAAGAAGTCTAGAAGCTAGCTTGAAGTTTCTGTTGGTTGCTGCTAAAGCATTCATGGCTTTCTTCTCTCTTCTCAAAATTTGGACTTATTTGATCAAAAGAGACTCTAATATATGAAAAATAGTTGGAAAAAATGTGATTCTTGCTTATGTTATTGCAAGTATATATATATATAGAGAGATACGTATACACTTCGTGTTGATGTGTTGAGGAATATGAGGATGAGAATTCTTGTTTTCTTGTAAAATTTAAATAAGGAATATGAATATAACTAAATAAAGACATACCCATAATTGATCCTGATTTTGAGTATTAAGAATAGTACAATGTATCTCTCTAACAAAGTTTTTAGACACAATAAAAAAATATATATATGATAGTTTATAGAAATTTTGCACATGTCCTCCATGTGTATAATAAATTACAATAATGAAATATTCATTACTAGTGAAAACAATCCGGAGATTAATTAAGCAGAATAAATATATTCTTTTCATTCCAAAAAGATAGGATAAATAAAGATTTATTTACAGGACAGAATCATGACATACATATTACATAGATTATAGATAAAAAAAGAGGAAGCTTATGAAATTTAATCTAATTGTATCACACAGTGTCATTTTTATTCATTTCTAAGATGATTTATTTTAAGTAAATATATCAACAAAAACCAAAAGCAATTATAACCACTTTATAATTACGTAGATGATTTATTCATTTGGAATTACTTAGTATATAATAAGATTATTTTAACCACTTTCATAGTCTATATATAAAATTTAAAGTTTTTATCTTATAGTTTTAGTAAAAAAATGTTATAGGAAAATCATGCGAATATAATTGTCTAGGTAGAGGCCGACCTAATATATACCGAAATGAATGTTGCATGTCATAAGATCTCCTTACGTGTTATTAACTTATTCTATTCTATCAGGCATCTACACATAACACACATATATATATATATATATAGCGTATACACTTTTGCGAGTAGTGTCAGTGACAAACAAAAAACGTATGTATACACTTAGTGAGAGTTAGTGTCTTTAGTGGGAAAGAAAAAACGTATACACTTAATTATTATTTACACACATACAATATTCAGTTTTGATTGTAAATATTCTTTGCACATATGTTTTCTTTAGATACTCAAATCAGAATCTTTAGGGAATCAGAGGATGACACGAGAGAGGATGCAACAAATCAAGAAACACAAAACAATTACAAGATTCCATCACCGAAGAATCTTTTTGGAATAAAAGATTTCCCACGATTAATGCTTCCACTAATATAAATTGTGGATTTCCACCAAGATTTTCTTTCTCTATCAATTCCCAAAAGAAGATATCAATTTCGTAATAACATTTGACCTTATACAATAATATCCTAGTGTTTCCAAATCTGATCTAACCTCTTTGGTCAAACACAAACTAATATATAAAACATGATAACCCAATATAAATCATGTTCATGGTAGCTAATGTCATGGTTTTATTATTTTTAAAAATGTTATGCATACAGCTTTTTATATCACTTTTTTTGAAATTTTAATAACTGATAAAAATAAATAAAACCAGTTGGACTTTTCCTTAAAAGGCCACTCCCAAATAAAACAAATTACGCGAGAATAATGGCATTAATTAACTACACTAGGAAAATAAATAAAAAATGTATTTAAAATACTAAAACAATGTCTAAAATCAATTCAAGACCATAAGTTATCCTGTATATTTTTGGATAACCCACTTAATTGCGGACTTAATATTATGGGCTTTGTTATATAGCCCATCAATCTTTAAGTGAAAAACAAACTACTGTACTTCTTGATGGTAAAAGCTCAAATAAACGTGTCTTCAGGGACCAAGTCCTCGTTATTACAATCACTGATCAACCTACATTGTTCTCTTCTCTCCATCTGTCTGCCACTCCATTAATGTCGGTTCCCATTCTCCCACTCACGATGACCCCAAGACACTCGAGGAAAAAGAAAAAAGCAAAAGGTAAAAAAAAAAAAGCACATAAACAAGCTCAACAAAACTCTTCCAGAATCAATCAGAGCACATTTGATTCCAAGGTAATTATATTCTCGATGCCATTTTTTTCCTCTTACCTGTGATATCCTCTTTTTTTTAGTCAGTGAGTCTCCTGGTGCTCTTACGGTAAAGTTTAGAGTGACCAATTTATAAATCATTGGTTGTCTGAAAGGAATTGTCTTTAAGTTTGTTTGTTAATCTTTCTTTTGGAGCTGCTATTAAAAATTTAGATATATTTTGGCTATGCCAAACTTAAAGACAATTCATTTGGTGTAGAAAGTTATTACCTCTTGGTCTTCCAGTTTATGTTAGAGAAAGAAACTAAATTTTTGAAACGAGGTTACTTTGTTCTGTTCCATTGGATTGTAGGAAATGTTTATTTTGCTCTATTTGAGAAATCAGTGTCTCCTGTTGTTGTGAAACCTTCCTTATACCTTTGAAAATTTTCAAGAAGAGTGGTCTTCTTAATGTTGTTTGAACGTGTCTTTACAGATTGGATCCAGTTTCTGGTGGTCTAGTTTCTCTGAGTTTTGGTGATCGAGCAGATTAACAGGCAGAGTTTTAAGAATGTCGACAGTGGGGAATTCAACAAACATATTTTGGCAAGAATCACCCATTGGGAAAGCTGAAAGGCAAAAGTTGTTAAACCAGAGGGGCTGTGTGGTGTGGATCACAGGGCTCAGTGGCTCAGGTCAATCATAAATCTTCTCCACTGTGATGATTACTTAAGCTGCCTTGTTTATGTCTAAAGTTCTTATGTTACATAAGCCTCTGTCTATATTCTAAATTCTTAGACTGAAACATTGTTAAGGGAAAAGCACATTAGCTTGCTCGCTGAGTAGAGAGCTGAACAACCGGGGAAAGCTATCATATATTCTTGATGGGGACAATCTTCGTCATGGTTTGAACAAAGATCTTGGTTTCAAGGCAGAGGACAGAGTTGAAAATATACGCAGAGTCGGTAAGTACATTACTTGTTACATTTTGAATTAGATTGGTGAAAGTCTAATAGTATTGATAGTTATGGCTAACAAATCACTAAACCCCATCGATATACATATTATTTTATACCTGAAAGCTGATACAGGTTCTGGTTATTATTGAAAGAAAATTCTCAAAAGGACAATGTGAAAGAAAACCATTTATATGTTAAAACGCAGGAGAAGTAGCAAAACTCTTTGCGGATGCTGGTTTGATCTGCATCGCCAGCCTCATATCGCCATATAGAAAAGACCGTGATGCCTGCAGGGAAATGATGCAGGATTCATCTTTTATCGAGGCAAGCTTTCTAAAACCAGACCTTACAGTTTGTAGCGCCCATTCAGTTTAACATATTTGTTTGATGTTGTGGCATAAACTCTTCAGGTTTACATGAACATGTCTCTACAATTGTGTGAAGCAAGAGACCCTAAAGGCCTATACAAGCTAGCGCGTGCAGGAAAGATCAAAGGTGAGATAACATAGCTTCCATAGAAACAGAAGATATCATTTGGATCTTTATAGAAGGCCTTATTTCTGCATTCCAATTTGTTCAGGTTTCACAGGAATAGATGATCCGTATGAATCTCCCTTGAATTGTGAGGTATTATCCTTGTGAATATATATGATTCTTCTTCAAATATGGCAAACTAAATCTATCTTGCGTGTGTGTGAAATAAGTTAATCAGCTTTTGTACATATGTTTTGAAACCTAACAGATAGAGCTGAAAGAGAAAGAAGGAGAGTGTCCTTCCCCTGTAGCTATGGCTGAAGAAGTCATCTCTTACTTAGAAGACAAAGGTTTCCTCCAAAACGAGTAACCTTCAACATAATCCAACGGCTGGGATTAGTTTATTTTCCTTTTCTTTTCTGGTTGTTCCCTGGTTATTACTCTCATAAATATATATATATCCCCATCTCTTTCTTCTCAAACCTATCAACTTTTCTATACTGAATGTCTGAAACTCAAGTGATTCAACGGCAGAGTCTTACCAAGCTAAATCAGAATATTGCAGTTACATTTGTTAAGGTAAATCACACCAATTTGAAGTAAGTAACAAGTCATTCCATTGAGGATGATCTATTCAAAACCCTATACAACAACGACAAAGACTACTGCCAATATTATTCTTCTGAATTTGATACTATGGTGCAACGGTTATACTGATACACTTATGATAGATTGATAGTGGATAAACTGATTCAGAAAAAAATATAGATCTTATTCGAATAGCTTGTAAAAATAGAGGGTTCTTTTTGCAATGTTCCCTAAATGTTTAGATTCTGATGAGTTGTGCAATATAAAAAAAACAAAAAACTCGATCCCGGGGGACAATTTAGAGACAAAAGATGGTGTTGAATAGTCGATTGGTGGAGACAACGGTGAATCTATCGACAGATCTCTGGCAATATGTTGCTTGTAACCCCGAGAGACTTCCTCGCGCCACCGTGCTCAATTTCATCTTCTGCATCCCTCTCCTCCAACTCCGCCGCCTCGCTTCCTCTCTCGGACCATACCTCTGCTTCGTTTCCGGCACCGGAGTCGATCGCCGTACTCATTTCGATTAATTTCTCGGCGTAGTTTCCGCGAATCGTCTGTTAAATTTCGACTTTGATTCTGTAAATTTTTTGTTTTGATTGTAATATTGTAATCTCAGTTTGTTTGTTTGTAAACCGAAAGGGACATTAAAAAATTAATACCAGAATAAACCGAAATGTTTAACAAGATAGAAAACCAAACCGGGTTGTTAGGAATTGTGTAGTCTGTCATCAAAGGAGAGAAGAAAGGTGAGGGGAGACGTGTAAAACAGACAACATCCGAAAGGTTCCGTTTTCGTGGGGAAGAAGATGAAGTCGCTTGTAGTGGCCCATTTCTCAACGCCTTTAATCACTTCTACTTCTAGATTGTTGTTCCCTTTATGTCTTAATCATCGAGCTTCATTCTCCGCCGTCTCTTTCCCCACCGTCCGCCGCCGATATTCTCCTCTCGCCATGGCCTCATCAGCTCAGTCCTCTTCTCAGGTCAGGATTCAGTATTTGGAGTTTTATTGATGAATCCGTTGGTATTGCTCAGGAGAACCAGTGAATCTGTATTTTGATTGATGTGGCTCCTTGATCTAATTTCCTGTAATCATTTTGGTTTTGTATTTGTTAGTTTGATCTTTTTGGTTTGAGGTCAACTGCTGAAAACTTGTAACTTTATATCTCACACTTGTACTAATCAGGCTGTGTCTTCCGGGAGTGCCGACAGTGATACAGATGTTTTTAAATTGATTCAAGCTCACGAGGTAACTAATGTGCCAATTTTGTAATCATGGTATCTGAATATATCTAGTATATGATTTGACAATATTCATGTTCTCAATGCCATGTTAATTTTTTTTGCATTCATAGTTCTCAGAGCTTTGTGAATTAGTTTTAAAGTATTGATATGTGGTCGTTTAATCTGCAGGAGAAGGCTGCTCGTCTTTCCCCAGTCGAAGAAATCCGAACTGTGCTTAATGGTAGCCTCTGCGGTATGCTTTCCACTTTTTCTCAGGTGAGCAATTAAATTAATCTTCTATGAATATGATTTCTCTTAGAGAAAATTAGGATGTGTGCCGAAGTACTAGGATTCTGATTATTTGGTCACCGTGTCACACATTGTAATTTCAAAAGCTACCTTCACTCTATCTCATTTACCGCAATTTTGATCTGATGCAGAAGTATGAGGGTTATCCTTCAGGGTCAATGGTTGATTTTGCATGTGATGCTGATGGTTCTCCGATTCTGGCAGTTAGTAGCTTGGCAGTTCATACAAAGGTTTGTTGCTTATACAAGGACTTGTGATAATTCATCTCTGTTTTTGCTGCAATCTAGAGTAGTTTGAACGATAGTTTGCAAAATGAAAATGTGTGGAATAGTGAAGTGACTGCGGAAGCAAAGTAAAAAAGCAATCGTCTTCCCTTCTTTTACAAATTTAGATGTCTTGACCTTATAATTTATTATGCCGTTTGCAGGATCTTTTAGCTAATCCAAAATGCTCACTACTAATTGCTAGAGACCCAGAGGATAGGACCGGTTTGAGGATCACCCTACATGGTGATGCAGTGTTGGTATGTATTTCGCTGTGTTTTTTTTTCTATCTGCACTTACAGTCAAATAGAATGCTTGAATGTTTTTCTCTTTATTTTTAGGTTTCTGAAAAAGATCAAGCAGCTGTTCGATCTGCCTATTTAGCCAAGCATCCCAATGCTTTCTGGGTAAACACCCTTTCTTATAATGACTAAAGTGAAGAACCCCCCAAAGACAATGTACTGTAACATATCAATTAATTAACTGAACCTTTTCTTCTTGAAACGTCGAAGGTTGATTTCGGGGACTTCAGCCTTATGCGAATCGAACCGAAAGTGGTCAGATATGTTTCAGGGGTTGCAACTGCTTTTCTGGGATCTGGAGGTATCTTTTTTGCTTCATCTAATATATATCCTATCTTCTGCAACACAATTTATTGTAATCCCGCTAATATTTTACTTACTCTCTGAAATCTCGATTTCCAGAATTCAGCAAAGAGGAGTTCCAAGCAGCCAAAGTTGATCCTATAGCTCAGTATGCAAAGCCTGTAATGGTATAACAAACATATCCCCAGTACAATCGTCAACATATAGGAGTGGATGTGTACTAACTAACTCCTTTTCATTTCGGCAGTCTCACATGAACAAAGATCATGAAGAGGATACCATAGCCATTGTACACAATATAACATCCATACCTGTAAGTGATTCAGTTCACCATCTTAATCTTGGTCAACAAAAAACTTCAGTAATGAACATAAAATTCTATGAAATCTAGTTAAGTTCAGCCTTATTTGTTTTCGACAGACGATCATACCATACGATATATTAACATATATCACATTCAAACTATATAATGAGTATATTTCCTTGAATATCAGGTGGAGAGCGCCTTGATGCTAGATTTGGACAGCCTTGGTTTCAACGTTAAGGTGTGTTTTCTGAACGTCAAAACCCCAATATCTCATCTTTCAGTGTACGAAACAGATGTTCTTTTCCTCGTTACAGGCTACTCTTCAAGGGAACTCCTTCAAACTCCGAGTTCCATTCCCAAGACGCGCACAAGACAGAAAGTAAGATCAAGACTCTATGTTGCAGTTTTGTTCCCAGTTTCAATCTAGATTAAAACAACCGATTCCCTGTACTACAAGTGATACAAAACTGATTGAGTAACTCTTAAATTGGTGGTGGTTTTGCAGGGATGTGAAGACACTGATAGTGGAAATGCTTCAAGCCGCCAAATCTGTTTCCAATTAGTTATCTAAGTTAAAGATGGAAAAAGCTCTCTACCTTCTGAATCTTGCTACAACAAGACAAGCTTCCTCCTTTACACATTCCTTATCTTTGTATTGCAAAAGAACATTCATTGAGTCCTGTATATATGTTAACAAGACTTTAACTAAACTTATACATGGAAAAGTTATAAATGGAGATATGTGAATTCATATCGGCTCTCATGTATGCTTATTCCATTCACATTGCTTGTAATTGTAGGGAAAGTTTAAATGTAGTTTAAAGTTACTAATTGACTAGCGGGTACGACAAAGACTAATCCAAAGCAGCAGAGACTATACCAGACTATACCAAACAGCATAAATCAAACACGAGATTTCCAACTATTTTAGAAACTTTATAAATAAAACAATTTTTTAAACTTAAATTGGCTTCTACATAGGGTTGTAATGGTATGAATACGAGAGTTCCATCAATAAGGGTCCATTAATTTAAGTTATATTTTTTGTTTTATTACTTTTGTGGCATGAAATTGATAAGGGTCCATCAATAAATGTCAACAGTGGTGAGAGTAGCATATAAAACTTAGACTTTTCTACTTTGTATATTATAAAGTTTGAATGCGAAGGAGGGTACATAAAGAAGATTTCACCCACTCCACCAACTACAATTCAATTCTTTTGTTATTATTAGCTAAATGGGGATCTACTGATCCCATGTTCAATAAGTTAACTCAATAAGTTACATAAAAAAGAAGTGATATATAAAGTGGACTTTGAAATAAAATTCTTCAATTGATTAGTTCTCTGCTCTTTGTATAGATGTTATTGGTGAATAGACTCAATGGGAAATATTTATTACTCAAAATACATTGGTAACGATTTATTTTTCTATCTATACTATTAATTGGGGATCATTTTTAGTCTTTGTTGCCAAACAAACCTGAAAAAAATATATTAGAAATTATGTGATTGCAAACCTAAAGCCAAACACACTAAAAGACAGCAAAAAATAAAAAAAATAAATAAATAAATAAAAAACAAAAACTATCTATATTCATGGAAATCATTTTAATTTTGTTACCATAAAAAATGGACAATGAAACTCGAAATTTAACATATGCAAACAGATTTAATATTAGTTATATATTTTAGA